CCCCCCCCCTCGTGTACATATCATAACTCGCGATGTTAACGATAGCGATTTAAGGTCGGTTTCCCCTCCGCGAGAAATGCCGAGGTCACCGTTTAGTTTATCGCAGCTTTCTAGTTTTTTCGAGTATCTCCGCGTAACTAAGCTTCAAATTCGACTTCCCCCCTGAGGCGAAGTCGGTTTGAGATTTATCTAGCAGGATATTCTCGCGAGTCAAATAAATGAAAGTTATACTAACTGAATCAGTGAAATGGCATTCTATACCGGTAATCAGTGAGAATTCACTAATTTTTACGGAGGACTCTGCCATTTTGTTCTTTTGTCTGATATTTCACTGATTTTAGCCAGTGAAAGATACACTGCAAATCGCTGTTACGCGTCCCGTAGCAGAAATATATGTACACATCGTATGTATGTATTCTACCACATGTCGTATTTGACGTAGTTCGTAATACGACAGCAGATTCAAGAGCTAAAGGTCCATTGACAATCTCCCTGTTTGTTAACCCTTAGCTGACACACGGGGTTAAAAGTACCCCAGAGTGTTTTTGAACACAAATTTTTCATAGCTGCGCGCCAAATTTGGTTCTGTGGCGCCATCTAGCATTAGTCGAGGCTTGACCCAATATTGATAAATAAAACAATTATATACATTTTTTCTTACTGGGGTCCAAAATACCCCCTATAACACGTACGTTATTATTTTGACGTGCGTCAGCTAAGGATTAAATCAAACATTCGTTAAATCCTCCGTTCCAAGAGGCAGGTTAGCTTCAATTAAAGAGATTTTACGAAATCTCCCAAGAAATCTTTTTCTCCGTATAAGCATCTGGCACGATAAAATTGCCGATTATATCGGCAATTGCACACACGAATGTTGTTACTCGGAATAAAGTAACGATTAAAGTCATTGATGTGCAGAATGGCGAAGACCCAACATCAGAATGGTGTAATACCCGGAGGTGGCACGATGACCGGGCCGGATGATTTTTCGGACGGTGAAAGCACTCCTCTGACTCAGGACTATGGCGGAAGGTAACGATGATTTCGTAATCGCTAATGATTCCTTCGACAGCCGGGAGCACAAAGAGAGAGAACGATCAGTTCGAAGGAACAAATAGAAGTCGGAGAAAAAAAATTGCGCGGAGAATTGAGAAATTTTTTAAATCGACTCTGATCGGATCTCTCTCTCGTAATTCACTTACTAATCGGATCTCGACATTGTGAATGCAGCCAACGTACCGTCGTCGAGACGAAGGGATGGGACGTGTTCCGGAATCCACCACCGAAAATCGACTCCGGCTCTATGGCGAATCAGAGTTGCCTGGAGAGGATGGTGCAAGTGACCAAGGTCCTCGTCTACCTGCTCGTGTTCGTCATAGTACTGGGAAGCGGCGTGGTCGCCAAAGGAACGATCCTCTTCATGACGTCGCAGCTCCGGCAGGACAGAAGAATCATTTACTGCAACAGACAATTAGGTGAACGTCAATTAGGTTATCTCGTTTTAACGTAGTTTTGACACGATAATTAATTCCACCCGATGACACGATCAGTGTCCTTTATTTCGAATAAAAAACAACATACAAAATAAGTAAATTCTTTCTACTTTCCTTAATTTTTTTCAAATAAAAACAGTATACAAAGCAAAGAGATTTATTTTAATTTTCTTAATTTTTGTTAAACATCTCAGTTTTTAGTTAAACATACATAGTAAAAAATTTTGTTCAAATAACGATCCACTGAAATTTTTGTGTTATTTAACATAAAAATACTTGAAAAGTACACAGGTATATGTTAAATTAACATATTCACCTTGTTAACATATTATTTTTTAACATATCTAACTTGTTAAAGTAACACACAAATTTCAGTGGTCCGTTATTTACATAAAATATTTTTTCTTTAAATTTTTTTTTTACTCACAATTCCGAATACAAAATTAGCAAAAAATAGTTGACCGATGATTGATTTCGCATCGCAATACATGACACTCGGTGATTCCGGAAGTAACGCGAGTCCTTCGGTGAGGTAAAGTTACCTCGGTTCAATCAAAACACCTTCCAATTACGACCTTTAATGATTCAGTACCGGTTTCGTGTCCGTATCGCGATCGCCGATAATCGTCGCTCGATTATTCCATCCCTCGCAATCATCGTCCGCTTTCTCGCACAGATCGGGAGAATCAGTACATGGTGGTGTTGCCCGAGGAGGAGAGGGTCGCATGGATATGGTGCATAATAATCGCCTTCGTGGTGCCGGAGTTCGGTACGCTGATCCGCAGCATCCGCATGTGCATCTTCAAGTCGTGGAAGAAGCCGCATTCGGCGCACTTTCTCCTGGTCTGCATCATGGAGACCTTCCACGTCGTCGGGCTGGCCCTGATGTTCCTCGCAGTGCTGCCGGATCTGGACGTCGTCAAAGGGGCGATGCTGACCAATTGCGTGTGCTTCGTGCCCGGATTGCTAGGTAATATTCTCGGCGCTTCGGCCGCTCCTCTCGCCTGCTTGAAAACCGCCAACCGATCTTCCCGACTTTCGCGTCCCGCCTGCTCGCGATTTCGCGATCTATCAGAAACACGCTCGTACGGAACGCGAAAGTAATAATCACGCGATAGGCAAGGTGAACTACTCGGTGAGCTGCTCGTGCACGTTGCAGGCCTACTTTCCCGTAACAAAAGCAAAGACGAGTCCAAACGTTTCGTTCTCGTTCTGGTCGACATCGCCGCTCTGGCCGCTCAAGCGACCAGCTTCGTCCTGTGGCCGCTCTTGGACAGCTCCAGGCGGTCTCTGTGGCTCATCCCGGTGGCGTTGTTCCTCGTCTCCTGTGGCTGGTGGGAGAACTACGTCTCCACGCAGAGTCAGATCGGTGAGTCTCTCGGTTTTCTCATCACGGAGAATCTGTTTGGAAATCTTGACTCTCTTTCTAACAATCACGAAGCTACATTTTAATAACAAGGTCGTAGATGCAGGATTATTGTGTATCTCTTCGAGAAAGATTTGTCAAGCGAGGAAATAAATACGAGCTCTTTAATTGTATTTCAAAGAAAAGTAGAGTTGGAAGTGAGTCAAGAGAGAGAGCGAGAGAGAGAGAGAGAGGAGAGAGACACTTTTCAAGCGATTCTTCTAATTACGCAATTTCTCCTCGCAGGTCTAATCAGGTCACTCGGAAGAGTGAAGAAGGAAATGAGATTGACGCGATACTTCACCTACATGCTGGTGACAGTGTGGAAGATCGTGGCGTTCTTCATCAGCGTATTACTGATAGTCTATATCAAGGAAGAGAAGGTGGGCCACCTGTTCACCATGTTGAGCAGCGCCTTCGGCCCGCACAAGATCACCGTGACACCCACCAAACTCGCGACTTCCGGCACTTCGCCCGATCTCATGGAAATTCTCATCGCAGGCGGAGACGCCACCGAGACCATCGACGCCGACTTCCACACGCCGATCTACGTACTCCTGCTGCAGGTCTTCGGCGCTTACTTCGCTTACATCTTCGGTAAACGGGCCCAATCAAAGTTCACTCACCCATAGCCTCAATTTTTACCTGACTTCTGAGACAGAAAATTTCTATCATAGAAGAGATGATTCAAATGCTAAATAATTAAATCTTTTTTCATAATTTTTCTAAATTTTTGTCTAAATTCTTAATAAATTTTTAATTTAAATTTCTCAATTACTAATAATATAATTATTAATTACTTATACTATATAGTAAGTAATTCAATTTAATAATAGTAATAGTACCTCAATAATAATTTTTAATTGCTTAAATGTTTTAATTTCTTATTGATCTTTAAATTGCTCGAAATCTTTCAAATTGACGACGCTCTTTTAGTAAAGGCTTAAAAATGTTTTGGTTAAAAATACATTTATCGACATCGAAATTATTATTATTATTAAATAAGCGGGAGAATGGAAACTCCCTTTGAATACAAAAATACAGATAAAATAAATAAAATAAGAAATATTTAAGGACTATATATTATTTTCTCGTTCAGGCAAATTCGCGTGCAAGATCCTGATCCAAGGCTTCAGCTACGCCTTCCCGGTGAACCTCACCATACCGGTCTCGATTTCACTGCTGATCGCCGCGTGCGGCCTCCGCAACGGCGACCCCTGCTTCTTCCACGGCACGATTCCGGATTATCTGTTTTACGAGTCGCCGCCGTTGCACTTCCTCAACGAGTTCGTGTCGAAGCAGTACGCCTGGGTGTGGCTGCTTTGGCTGTTATCGCAAACCTGGATCACCCTGCACATCTGGACGCCGAAATGCGAGCGTCTCGCGTCTACGGAGAAACTCTTCGTGGTGCCGATGTACGACTCTCTGCTGATCGACCAGTCGATGGGACTCAACAGAAGAAGAGACGATCAGCCGGAAGTCAAGGTCGAGGTGAGCGTTTTTAATTTCCCACGATTTAAAGAAAAATAATTAACGACGTGTGATCACGATTGTAATTTATATTTAATTTTACATTAATATGTATAATATTTTCAAATCTCTATAAATAATTTAAATAAAAATTAGTAGAAAGGAAAAAGATTAGTGGTTGAGAGAAATATCGGAGTTGATTTTATTGATATTCTCGTGAAAAATTAGATTTGCCAATTTCTAAGTGGATCCGTTGATTCTCAATCTGTCAATCGACTGGCAGGATCTAGCGGAGATAGAGAAGGAGAAGGGCGATGGGGACTACGAGACGATTTACGAGCAGACGGATGGCTCGACCACACCTCCGTCCGCGGTGAAAAGCAGCGATCACGTAACCAGGATTTACGCTTGCGCTACTATGTGGCACGAGAATAAGGAGGAGATGATGGAGTTCCTGAAGAGTATCCTGCGGCTGGACGAGGACCAATGCGCGCGACGCGTCGCCCAGAAGTACCTGAGAGTCGTCGATCCCGATTACTACGAATTCGAAAGTATGTCGACTGTCTAAGTCAATTAAAATTAAGTTTAATTGAAGCTAACGTAAATCTAATTAAATCGATGCGTATCGATAGTTATTCGTTACTTGATACCGGGACACGATTTCGCAGCTCACATATTCTTCGACGACGCGTTCGAGCTGTCTGATCACGACGAAAACGAGTCGCAGGTGAATCGGTTCGTGAAGCTGCTGGTCGGCACGTTGGATGAGGCCGCGTCGGACGTGCACCAGACGAGGATGCACGTGAGAGCGCCGAAGAAGTATCCGACTCCTTATGGTGGTCGTTTGGTCTGGACTCTGCCCGGTAAGACGAAGATGATCGCTCATCTGAAGGATAAGAGCAAGATCCGGCACAGGAAGCGATGGAGTCAGGTAACTTTTCACCTCCATCGATCCCTATACTTAACGAACATTATCTACATTATCTACGGAAGAAAATCTGATTGTATTAACCTAGAAAACGAACAACCAGATGCGTTCTGGTTGAAGGAAACAGAATTTCTGGTTCTTGTCACCAAAATGTGGTTCTTACAACTAGAAATCCCGTTTCCTTCAACCAAAATGCATCTGGTTATTCCCTCTCTCTTGCTGATACTACCAAACTTTGTTTCCCGTGTAGAAAAAACAACTCGATCGATTTATTTAGTCGATCAGGTAAAATTTAGTTACTACATATATATTAGTCGGTTTCATAGCGTAATTTGTCTTCCGACACTCAATCGCCATGTTGTTCTGTCTAAACAGTATGTCCTCATCTCTGAGGTTCCTTTCCGATATAGCCCTTTTTATCCCACTGATCCACGTCGTCACCGGTTTGTCCCGTTTTCTTCTTTCAGCTGGAGACCATTCCATCATTATTTTTGGTATTCTATTCTCCTCCATGCGCTGCACGTGACCGTACCACTCCAGTTGTTTTCCCTTAATTTCATTAATTATTGTATTTGTTGCTTCCATCTGGGTTCTGATGTCCTCGTTTCGTTACGGGAAAAAATACGAAACGAGGACATTAGAACCCAGATGGAAGCAACAAATACAAATTCAGTTACTAAAGAATTAAAGTTGTTCTAAATAAACATTTATTTGTTCATTGCAATTATACGTTTCGGCTTTGAATGTTTAGGTAATGTACATGTATTACCTGCTGGGACATCGTTTGATGGAGTTGCCGATCAGCGTCGATCGCAAGGAAGTGATCGCCGAGAATACATTCTTGCTGACGCTCGACGGCGATATCGACTTCCAACCGGCTGCCGTGAAGCTCCTCGTGGACCTGATGAAGAAGAATAAGAATCTGGGCGCCGCCTGCGGTCGCATCCATCCGGTCGGTTCCGGTAAGTCATACTGGCGATTCAAGTGAACGAAATTATAACATTGAGTAAAATGATTATAATAATTATATTTATATACGTTTAATTTATAACGATCATAAAAACAACGTTCTCTGCGCGCAGGGCCGATGGTGTGGTACCAGATGTTCGAATACGCGATCGGTCACTGGCTGCAGAAGGCCACCGAGCATATGATCGGCTGCGTACTCTGTAGCCCGGGATGCTTCTCCCTGTTCAGAGGCAAAGCCCTGATGGACGACAACGTGATGAAGAAGTACACGACCAGGTCCGACGAGGCGAGACACTACGTGCAGTACGATCAGGGCGAGGATCGTTGGCTGTGCACGTTGTTGCTGCAACGAGGTTACCGGGTACGAATCGCGTATCTTTCCCAAGGATAATTCGTTATTATTATTATTATCTACCAGGTAAATTGATTTTCATAATCGACACTGCTGCAGGTGGAATACTCAGCTGCGAGCGACGCTTACACTCACGCGCCGGAAGGATTCAACGAGTTTTACAATCAACGACGCCGCTGGGTGCCCTCCACCATTGCGAACATCATGGACCTGCTGATGGACGCGAAGCGCACGATCAAGATCAACGACAATATCTCGCTGCCTTATATCTCCTATCAGATCCTGCTGATGGGTGAGTGCATCCGACGATTCAATTCCATTTACTGCAATACTTTTAATACTCGAAACGTTTAAATAAAGTGTTCGAGTAATAAATTATTTTTTTTTTGTATTTTAATAGTGTTTGTAATAAATAAACGTTTATGTATTTTAATAGTGGAAATAATATAGTTTAGTGAACTTGATATATTTAAAGCTTCTTACATTAATTAAAAACTGGCCCGTAATATTCTTAATTGATCGAATATCGAGAGAGCCTCAGATCGAACTTTTTTGACTTTTTTTTATGTTACTTTACGAAACAGGTGGCACGATCCTAGGCCCCGGCACGATCTTCCTCATGTTGGTGGGTGCCTTCGTGGCGGCCTTCAAGATCGACAACTGGACCAGCTTCTACTACAACATCATTCCCATCCTGCTCTTCATGATCATCTGTTTCACGTGTAAAGCCAATATACAGGTAAGTCGCCTGCCGAATTGATCACGCCTCCGCCTCCGTGTACGTACGTATTCGCTTCCCGTCGCGCCTTCATTCGTAAATCGTCCTTCATCCGTGATTCGTCCTCGTGTGAGAAGCAGCTTTTTCAGTTACCATGTAGAACCACGATGACATCGACGTCAAAGAACGCAACATTGATCTCTCACAGGACACGACAAACGCGAAACGCGGATTCCCTCGGCGATCGAGATTCGCTATTTCTCCGCGAGAAACTCTGCGCACGATTTCTCGCAAAATCTAGCTAAGGCGAAGCGCGTGGTTTCGTCAGCCAGGTGAATTAAGAGCGAGTGGTTTTCAGCTTTTGTGCGCCCAGATCCTGTCGACGGCGTACGCGATGATCATGATGGCGGTGATCGTAGGTACGGCCCTACAACTCGGCGAGGACGGCATAGGCTCGCCTTCGGCGATCTTTCTCATATCCCTCTCGAGCTCGTTTTTCATAGCGGCCTGCCTGCATCCGCAGGAGTTTTGGTGCATCGTACCCGGCATCATATACCTGCTGTCCATCCCGTCTATGTACCTGCTCCTCATACTCTATTCCATCATCAATCTTAATGTTGTGTCATGGGGCACTCGAGAGGTTCAAGTGAAAAAGACGAAGAAGGTTCGTGTTCTCTTCTCTGACCGGCGATTCGGCACGATCGGTCCTCACTCGGACTATACACGTAGCACCCTGAGGGTCTCCGGTGTAACACTCGTACGCGGGGCTTGGGAAAGGTGAACCTTCCGAACTCGCAGGTCCCCCCTATCCGACTTGTCGTTCTTAATATTTAGCAAGATCCAAATCGTTGAACCAGCCACACCCGGAGAAAAAATCAGCCACGGAAGTTAAGATCTAGCAGCTAAAATAGAAACAACTGATGTCGTTGGTCTCGCAATACCAATTGGCTGCGGTGGTAACGATATTAGCTATTAGAGGTGAAATGTATTTGCTGCAAAATACAACTACATTATTAGCTGTAGCGCTTTAATTCGAGCAGCGGATATATATTTAGCTGCGGTAGCAACGACATTAGCTGCCCCTATTTCACCTCCTACATAGAGAAAAAGGTTTCTTTGGATTTACGTGTTTGTTGAACTTAGGTTTGTCTAACTCTGTTATTCTGTTCTATTTGACCCGAAATTATGCTGATATTTCATGACTTTGTTTCATAGCTCAAGAACATTAATTTGAAACTAAGCTATGAAACAAAGTCAAGTGAGATGCTAGAACGTTCAATCACCACATAAAAATGTAACGAGGAACTAAAAATTATTTCGGATCAAATAGACTCGAACAGAGCAGCAGGGTTGATATAAAGAAAGTATTGGGTTGTTCGGAAAGTAATTTCGTTTTTTCCCGACAGAGGATTTAATTGTATTTTTTCACAGCTAACTTCACACTTAAGTCGCATTGTCATTATATGTTTTGACAGCTGATATAGCAAGGCTTGTGTGTGAATAAGTTCAATTGATTTTACGCAGTAGTTTTTGGTCGGTGCCCTTTTAAATATGGAGAGCAATAAGCAGCATTTTCGTCATATTTTACTTTTTTACTATAGAAAAGGTAAAAATGCTGTTCAAGCCAGAAAGAAATTAAGCGATGTGTATGGAGAAGATGTGTTGACAATACGCCAGTGCCAGAACTGGTTTGCAAAATTTCGATCCGGCAATTTTGATGTCGAAGATGCATCACGTTCTGGAAGGCCGGTTGAAGCTGATAAAGACGCGATAAAGGCATTAGTTGATGCAAACTGGCGAATAACAACACGTGAGATCGGTGAGAGGTTAAATTTATCGAATTCAACTGTTTATGACCACCTGAAAGGCCTCGGTTTTACCTCGAAGCTCGATATATGGGTTCCCCATGTCCTCACGGAGAGAAATTTGTGTCGTCGCGTTGACGTCTGTGCTTCACTCCTCAAACGTCACGAAAATGATCCATTTTTGAAGCGCATCATTACTGGGGACGAAAAATGGGTTGTATATAACAATGTCAAACGCAAGAGATCATGGAGCAGAAAAGATGAACCGGCTCAAAGCATTTCAAAAGCCGATATCCATCAAAAAAAGGTGATGCTGTCTGTTTGGTGGGATTTTAAAGGAGTCACTTTTTTTGAGCTTTTACCGGATAACACAACAATTAATTCGGAAGTCTACTGTCATCAGCTGGACAAACTGAATGATGCACTTCAACAGAAAAGGCCAGAATTAATCAACAGAAAAGGTGTAGTGTTCCACCAAGATAATGCGAGACCTCATACAAGTTTGGTCACTCGCCAAAAGCTTTTACAGCTTGGATGGGATGTACTGCCACACCCACCATATTCTCCAGACCTGGTCCCTTCGGATTATTATTTGTTCCGGTCACTGCAAAATTTTTTGGACGGTAAAACCTTTACCTCAAATGAACACGTCAAAAATCACCTGGATCAGTTTTTTGCCAGCAAAGACCAAAAATTTTATGAGCGTGGAATCATGCTACTACCAGAAAGATGGCAAAAGGTGTTGGATCAGAATGGCCAATATATAATTTAATTAAATATTTATTCATTATACGAAGATCGTCTTTCATTTTCACCACAAAAAAACGAAATTACTTTCCGAACAACCCAATAATTTAATATCAAATACTTTGTCTGAATAAAAATGTTGTCGCTAAAATAAATCATGTCGTTTGAAGAGAAAAACAGTATTATTTAGAAAAAATAATATTTCATTTTCAATAAAAAAAATTTAATTCATTATATATTAAATATTGTTCCACTGAGGCAAAGAAATTTGTTGTCACTTTTTTCAGACAATTTATTGTTCGTGACAACCATTGCAATATTTGGATGAAAATACAAAAGAAATATATCACATATTATATTTGTTGAATTAAGCATTCGTTCGTTTGCTCAGTTCCAAGAGACAAATTTGCGATCGATAAAGTGCTCTTATTAAATCCAGGGAGATCTTTCTCTTTGCGCACAGCTGATCCTTTCTCCGTGTACAGTCGTTTAACCAGAAAGCAACTTCGACGTGATAACATTAGACGATCTAACAACGTTGCAACTTGAACGGCGGTGCATGAGGAGCCTGAGGTGAACCTTAGAGAGGTAACCGTTCCGCTGAGAATCTCATAGAGATCCATCCGCTTGGTCGTCGTGCGAACCACGTCCGCCTCAGCTTCGTCGCTTCGGCAATGTCGCTTTGCGGTTTGCCTCCTTCAGAAGGAGGGCAGGAAGGAGCGATTAACTAAACACGCACGATCGGTGCGACGGTGCCGAGCAGGTAATAATGGCCGCGATAATCAGCACCCTCTACGGGATAGTGATGACCGCAGTGATCGTCGCACTCGCGATTAACATCGTGAACGAAAGCGTGGTGTCGCCGACCGCTTTGTTCCTGTTCATGATGGTGGGTCAGATCGTGGCAGCAGCCCTCTTGCACCCGTACGAGATCCGTTGCCTGCTGCACGGTTTCATCTATTACCTGTCGGTGCCCTCGATGTACTTGCTACTAACGATATACTCGGTCTGCAATCTGAACAACATCTCGTGGGGCACGAGGGAGATTAAGACGAAGAAGACCCGCGCGGTAATAACTACTAATCCTCCAGATCCTCTTTCTCTCCGCTCTCTATGACCGACTAATTTGCACTAATATCCGAGACGCACCCCGGGTCGAAATTTTAAGTCTAATTTAAGTCTTAATTTAGTTCCACGTTAAGTGTTCGAAGGTCCTCTATCGTACTCCTTTGATGCTGCAAGCGGGAACTTATTTCTGTGTTTTCCGTTTGAAGACTTAACGTAGAATTGAAAATTCCGACTCGAGGCTCGAAAACGTAATTTTGGCGTCATAACGGGTCGATAATACTAATTAATTCTCGATAACTCGTACTTACTAACGATTTTTCCACACGGCACGGTGTATAACTCGTCGTATAACCCACATCATATCGCTGCGGTTTAACTTGTGCTAATTAACGGGAGATCCGGAGTGACGTTCCGCGTGTCGTCGTGTATCTGTTATCGCTATCCGTGCGACAGGAGCTCGAGCAGGAAAAGCGAGAAGCAGAGGAGGCGAAGCGGAAGGCCAAGCAGAAGTCCCTACTGGGCTTCCTGCAGAACGGCGCGGGTACCAACGACGACGACCAAGGCTCCATCGAGATCTCACTGGCGGGTCTATTCAAGTGCTTGCTGTGCACCCACGGCAAGCCTTCCGCAGAGAAGCAGCAGCTGGTGGCGATCGCGGAGTCCCTAGAGCAGCTTGGGAAACGATTGGAAACGATCGAGAGGTAAGAAGGAGACGCGGGTACCTCTATTTGAACCGTGAAGCAACGAAAGATTATCACGAGCGACCGGAGATCGAGCTAATCTAATGGCTAAATCAAATTTTAGATAAGAGAAAATAAAATGAATTTGATTGAAGTTTGGAACGATCTTCGAGGAAAATTAAAAGATTTATTTTTTCAAGTTTCAACTTCAGTAAAAAGTAAAAATATGCAAAAAGCGATAAAATTGTGCGAAATGTGTCTTTATTAACGTAGATAAATAAGAAAAACGAACAAGATTAAGCAATACAATTAAAATACAATTAAAGTACAAAAGTATTATCCTTTCCTTACATAGAACGTCGAGATCGTCAGCAGAAATTTTTGTTGGTGTTGCTGAGTGTTGCGTGTACTTGAACTTTGTCGATTATAAAAATCTCCTGGCTTCTCATTTTCAATTAACCATTTTTTCCAACGTGTATCGTTTCACGGAGTGTTAAAACTATTGTCATTTATTTGCACAATTCTCAGCAAAAATTTTAATTTGTATGAATGTTTGCTTGCGCGCAGTCTTTTCCGTTTCTTGTTTATTTATATTGATATTGACATATTATGCACAATTTTATTGTTTTTTTCCACATTTCTATTTTTCTTACTGAGATTAAACTTAAAAAATTTTGTTTAATTTTCGCTCAAAGATCGTTCCAAATTTCAATCATGTAGTAATGTATATGTAGAACGAGAGAGAAAGGAGATTATACACTCGTGATCTAACATAGAGTGTAACAAAGATTGGCATCTCTTTCATACATTTTAGTAATAACGCAAATGAACTATTCGATAAGATAAATATAATCGGCTAAGCGAAAGATATAGTTGCAGATAACCATACACATACACACATATACATACACAATCGGAAGAAAAAATTCTAGATAAGATTTTGTACATACAGGAGAATATATACCGTATTTAAGTGAATATTACTTGTTCCAAGTATTCCACAGGTTTATATTATATATTCACAAGAACATAAATTTATCTAACAAGCATCAAATTTATTCAAAAAATATATTCTAAATCCTAATATATAAATTTAATATTTCTGTCAAGGACATTAAATTAAAATACTAAATCTAAAAGGCTTCGGTTTAAATTATTCAAATAAACTGAATTTAAATTTTCTTCAATTAAGTTTATAATATTCTTGAAAATTCTTCTTTTGTTTATAATAATGAACTTTTTATTTGTGATAAGTGTATTTTAATATTAATATTATCAAGAAAAAGAAATATTCGTTGTTCAAGATAATCACTACTTAAAAGAAGAAAAATAAACTGAGTACTTGCTTTTCTTCGTAGTCCAATAATATTTTTTTTTACGTAGATTGTTCAAAGTTGACAGAATGGTGGATGGTGTGCACTTAACTTGAAGATCCGAATTATTGCAGGGCGGTGGATCCTCACGCTGGTCGCAGACGAGCCTCGTCCGTGGGCTCGAGGACCGCCGATCACTTGGACGCGATCGGCGAGGACCCTGCCGAGGATGACAACAGTAACAGCGAGACCGAGACGGTTGCCAGCCAGAACACCGAGGCTAATCGCAACGGCAGCAATTTCCTCTCGAGGCCGTACTGGTTGAACGACGAGGGTCTGAAGAAGGGCGAGGTGGACGTGCTGTCGATGCAGGAGGAGCAGTTCTGGAAGGATCTGCTGGAGAAGTATCTCTATCCGATCGACGAGGACAAGGCCGAGAAGGTAAAACGATCGAGCGATCAGGCTATTCCATTCGATTTTCTTTTTTGAACTCCGACGGAAATTTATATTCCGTAAACTTTGAACCGTCGGTTAATTTTTTTCCACTCCACATATGCATATTTCTTACACAATCATGTGAGAAAAAAATTAAATTTTCCAATTTTATTATTTTATTTTGTCGATTTAAATTTTTATGAGATAACTGATATTAAAACAGAGGACTTTTATACGTAGAGATGTAATTACTGTAATTGATGCTGATTGGTTTGGATGAGACAGAGTGAAACTTCGAGTTCGGAACATGAACGCTCGCGATACGTCTTTGTCACTGCAAGCTGTCGTCGATTGGGGGTGAAGAAGCGATTGCTTTAATTTAGCTTTACTTTTGATTTTTTCTTTCTATTAAACTAACGAGACAAGTGTGCGATCGACCAGGAATCCGGAGGATCTATGGATTCTCCGCTCCTCGACGATCGCACAGAGAGAATCGTCCGAGTAACGAGTTGCAAAAATAGTAAAGACGACCAACTGATCGATGTTCAAAGATATTCGGCTGAGAATGATTGGAAAAGTTGCTAACGATTCAAGGTACTTAAGCGAAAAATTGAGAGGCCGTCTCACGAAAGGTGACACCTCGACTCTTACGGGAAGCATACTCGACTCGTCAACCAGTCACGCACGCATAATAATTAATTAATTACGCCATGCTGCTCACGTCAGGCACGAATCGCCAAAGATCTAAAGGACCTTCGCGACCAGAGCGTCTTTGCGTTCTTTATGATGAACGCCCTCTTCGTCCTGATCGTCTTTCTGCTGCAATTGAACAAAGACTTGTTGCACATCAAGTGGCCGTTCGGCATCAAGACGAACATCTCGTATGACGAAAGCACCTCGGAGGTAAAGCCAGCTCCGTCGGCGCCCACGGTGATCCTCGATCGAGGATTTATCTTTCCGCGATTTAAGTTCAATCTATCAACTCTCGCGTGAACGATCAGTGATCGTTCGGCTGATCGTCGTTCGAAGCAGCGCGTTTCCTTCGCGCGTCTCATCGTTAATTTTCTCTCCAACGGGAAGAAAATTTCACTTCCTCGATTATGTTGGAAGAATTTAATTTCTTTCCGGCGAACACGGAAAGAGCGACGGCGAGATAAAAACGCGAGATCGACGGATCGACGGACCGACCGACGGAGCTTTTCCTTCCTTATTATTCTAATCTGTGCCGTCTTTTGTTCTGTTTTCTCTCGCATTTACCCCTCCTCGCACACAACACACAACACAGGCCCGCATCGCCGGCGATCTGATCGAGCTGCGGAACAAGAGCGTCTTCGCGTTTTTAATGTTCAATGCCTTGTTCGTTCTGATCGTATTCTTGCTACAGCTGAACAAGGATCAGCTGCACGTTATCTGGCCGCTCGGCGTCAAGACGAACATCACCTACGTCGAGGAGACCTCGGAGGTATCCGAACAAGCATCAAGGGGCAAATAAGCGGTGGTGTCTTCTGTGTATACGGTGTCTCGTTACATCCCCTCCGATTCGCTCGGATACCTGTGCCGGTGGAAATTTCAAAACTGAAGTGAAAATTTCATTCAAATTTTATTCCCGATTCACGAGACTTGCCGGTGAAAATTAATTGAGAGAAGTGCGAGAAATTAAGAAAAAAAATTCCGAGCTCGATATAAAATAATTAAAAAATTCATTCGGAGATGTAACGATAAATGATTAAAAGTGCTGATATATCGAATGTTCTTACGAGCTCATCCGGTTTTTCGGCTCTTAGCGGCTCAATTATATCTTAGGATGTCAATCTCCGAATTGATTCGCGCGGGTATCCCGACGCATCGGCGAGGGCGATCGCAATATCCGTTGATGACGTTGCACCCGCTCGACTTACGAATGATATATGTGTACATATGTTCTGTTTCTTTGTCATTAACAACTTGCTCGTTCGACAGCACGTGGAAGGTGCCGAATTAATATTCTCACACAGGTACACCTGGGTCGAATGGAACGCGTGATTGGGAGGTGATTTCTAGTGGCTGACTTTCTAGAGGGATAACCAGAGATTAGTCGCCTGAGTGTCGGAATAACACACATACACACATACACACATGTACACACTTACTCTCGTCTTGCCCGACCCCACACACCTCTTTCTCACCAATGGTGAATTAATTTATGTCTAATTCATGATATTTAATTGAATCTCTCTTGTTAATTTAATTACACGATTAAAACACGAGTCTGGAGCGTGGAGGCGAGGACGGATGTCTCGCAGGAATCGAAGCTGATAATTTGAGCTTTCCGTAAAAGCGTAACGAACTCCTTCGCTACGTGAACGTACAAAATATATTACTTTATTAAATTTCACTATTACCAGAATATCTTTTTAAATTGCAATTACTGTCAAAAAGAGGACTGACTATACAACTGTGAGCGAAATTAGAAATTCGTCCTTGTCCGAGAGTCTCGGGTTCGCAGATCCTTGGTTTCAGGAATCTAACGACCCCAGGACTTACAAATTTATATATCCTCTTTCCTCTCTTTCTATCTCTTTTATCCGTTGTGTCTAACACTGACATGTGCACCATACGCCAAGTGGCAGCGAACGAGCACCACTAACGTTACGCGTAAGGCGGTGGATGCTTTCAGTGTCCTTTCATCGGGGTTCAGTGTTCGGCAGACCTACAGTCACAAGTGTGTGTATATGTATATATTCATAGGTGTGTGATTCTTAACACGCACGAACGGCACCCGACGATCGCGGAACTTTAATTGCTAACTACTTGTCGATGTGTTTAATCCGTACGAGGAGATGATTCCCCGATAGCGAGGATAATTCGGCACGAGATCGTCGAAGATCGAAAATTTATTATTATTACGACACAGAAGAAAGGAATTAGTCCGTATAGGTGTTTCATTCAAATTTCTTCTAAAGATAAGTCTTTATTCTACCGTGGAATCCGCTTATTGCCAGAAAGATGGGAAAAGATTGTAACAAGCGATTGAAGATATTTTGATTAATATACAATGTGTCGTATTTTTTTAAATAAATGTATTTTTGAGCCAAAAAATCCTTAAAATTAACCAAAACCCATGATACAATTGAAATTTAGTTATCAGACCTAATTTTTAGCTGTAGAAGCTAAAAACTAGGTATAGGGACTAAAAATTGGTTAAATTGATTAAATTTCAGTTGTATTATGTGGACAGCTAATTTTTAGCTATAAGAGCTCATTCTTTTTTTCTGTGAAGTCACCGAGAATAACAAGAAATGAGACAGCAGCGAAATTTGCAAATGTCGTCGGAAGGGAAATAATTCGGCGTGAGATCTTCGACGGATGAAAATCGCCGATGAAGTTCGCCATCGAGCATTCCCTCGGAAATGTAACAACCAGTCACCGTCGCGAGGCGACATTGTACAATCGGTCGATTTTGCAGGTGCACATCACGAAGGAATATCTGCAACTTGAGCCGATCGGTCTCGTTTTCGTATTCTTCTTCGCGCTGATATTGGTCATACAATTCACCGCGATGTTGTTCCACCGTTTCGGCACTCTGGCTCACATCCTGGCCAGCACGAGCTTGGACTGTTGCAAGAAGGTGCGTATAAAATTCGTTATTCGCTTATTTATTATTTGACGAATTTTTTAAATATGTCATTTCTTCATATCAACTTCACATACGTCTGATCTTTTGCAGACGAAGGATCTCTCGGAGGAAGCCTTGCTGTCGAAACACGTGGTCGACATAGTGAGAGACCTCCAGAGATTAGAGGGTATAGAAGGCGACTATGACGAAGGCAGCGGCAGCGGGCCCGGCAGACGAAAAACGATCAGGAACCTGGAGAAGAGCCGTAGGAAGACGCAGGCGATCAACACGCTCGATGTGGCATTTAGACAACGCTTCTTCAGCATGTCCGAAGGCGCAGGTAAGTTTGGACACATTCTAGGCAGCATACAATTTTTATAAAATATCTTAAAAATATGGATGTTGAATATTTTGTAAATATTCAACTGACCCGGAAAGTCAGGCATGAGAAAGATTACGATAAATATTTAAAAATATTGGTGAGGAATACTCATCATAGATAATAAAATCACGATTTTACTCAAGAAAAAAAATATTTTAATTACTTATGGAGAATATTTATCATAAACATTTTTGAATATTTATCTTAATCTTTCTCACACCTGACATCTGAACATTTGGATATTTAATATCTATATTTGAAATATTTTATAAATATTGTGTGCTATCTAAGGCGTGAAATATATGTAACATGTCAGAATTAAATTAGGAGATATGAAAAACGGATAGTTTGAAGTAGGAATAAGAAGTTGGCAATTTAAATTAAGAATACGAGATTAGGGGTAAATTTTAACAAAGTAGCAAATTCAGAATAGGATGAGAAATGTCAAGCATGAAAATCGCTTCCCCTCAGGTCTACCGAGGAACATGTCGACTAGACGCACGACGGAGGCGTTCAAGGCCTTCGAGGGCAGGCGCAACAGCATAATGGCGATGCGCAGGAAGTCGCAGATGCAGACCTTGGGCGCGAACAACATCTACGGTGTGGCCGGCAACCCGCTCGGGATCCAGGGCCGTCCGTCTAGGAGCAGCCAGATCTCCGTGAAGGACGTGTTCGACAATCGCGAGGGACATTCGGGACACGTGAACGCCGGTTACGAGGGCGAAGAGAGCCCCGGCAACAGCCTGAGGCTGCAGAATCTCGGCAATCAAGTGACGTGGCGGGAGGAGAAATCCAACATGTGATCTCCCCCCAAAGACCGAGTCCGATGAATCGACGGACAGCCTGGCGAATTGCTCGCACTACGATTGAGCCAACTTGTTTCTCCACGAGTCGTTTTGAATTCGTATCCTTCGGATTAATTGGTTAAAATTCAAATTAATCTGATAAAGAAAAAGTTCCAGATATAGGAACAATTTTACGTAGAAAGATTGCAACTTTCTGAGACTTCGTAAAATCTTCTTACGAGACTACCGGTCTCGCCGTTCAACTTATCCCGATTACGTTCTCGTGGTTTTCCAGACACGATCGTCGATTTGGTTTCTCAAGATACGGATCTAAGACACTTTGGAAGCGGAACAACAAAGAAGATTCGCGCGGTCTTTAGTAATAAATCGTAAATAAGGCACCGATCACGGCGTCCACGAGCGCGAGCATGTTATCGAGAAGTGTGCGGAATCGCGCACGAAGAGATCGCGACGAGAAAGCGCTCGGGATGATTCTGTTGTAGATACTCGCGATTCACCAACGCATGCGCTTTGCATTACGACTGACGCTCTTCTCGCGTTTGTTAACTCGTTCATTCATCTGCCGTCGAAGTTCAAAGAACTCACGGAAATGCGAGTGCAAATGTGAGTGCCGCGCCGAGCGTCCGAATTATTTATCGCGCGTATTCTCGATGGATGTTCCGGCCAACTGTTACGTGTAGCGCCTTCGTTTTTTATTTTTCTATAAGTAACCTCATACGAAGGTAAGAAACACTCGCACTTTATTCATCATAAGGTTAGCCCTATACCGAAACCGCGCGAATTTCTCCGACCACCGACGGCCGCGCCCGTTAAAAAATTTCCCCCTATAATTATGTATGAAATATGTCCATATATGCAAATATATAATTATATATGATTATATAAAATCATATATAATTATATTATATGATTTTATATAATCATATATAATTATATTATAACTCATTATATGTCATTTATATATAATCATATATGACTCTCTTTGTATCGTCACTTCATATATATTTATATATATTTTTTATATATGGATAAATTTCATACATGACGTCTCATATGTAATTATATACATATAATTATTATACACTTCGGTTGTATGTAATTATATATAATTATATATGAAAGATTTTTAACGGGCGTAATCGCTCCGACGAATTCACCGAGGAGCCTAGAGCGTTATCTTCCCTGTTTTCACACATTACTGGCACACTTTTCTATATTATATCTCATATATATAACATACATAGAGATACCATTCTGCTCCTTCTCTCTCTCTCTCTTCATCTCATTGTCCATATCGTCTCTCTTCGGCTGTCCGAATTTCATAAAAAATCGAAATCTCGGGTCACGATGCTCGTAATGTGTCTTTTGTATCGTCGCCGTCCGATGAATGGCGACGACCGCGATGATTACGCTTACTTGCTCCATTACGATTATGATTATTTTTTTTTTATTACGTGTATGTGATAAGGCCTGTATTTAAAGTGGAATAAGTCGCGCGTGAATGTGTGCTGTGACACGTGTGTGTGTGTGTGTGTGTATGTATGCGTGTCACGTGCGTGTTTTTCGAAAAACGCGCATGTGTGTATCATAACAATGTTGTCGAAACTTTTGAAATAAACTACATACAAACGAACCTGTCTTACGTTCTTTAATAGTTTGATTATTAATGTATATATCTTTACATCTTTTAATAGCCTAATTAATTGTCAAATATATCAATCAAATATATATATATATATAATGTTTTTTCTCGACATATTCGTGCATATTTTACAATTAATAAATGTAAAAAAAATATATATATATATATTTTTTTTTTTACTTTTATAGTTTTCACAATTATTTTTTCAATGATTTCGTAACAATATTATTTTTCAGTGGTTATGTTCCTAACTCCGTTTTTAATCCGATATTTTCACGCAATACAAGTATCGGCATTGATGATATCGATACAAGACGTGCGATATATTTTTCATATTGATACTAGATCTGTTCGTTTTCGCTGCACTTCTGAACTAGTGCAATAAATTGAAGCGAGGTAAGTATATATTTCTCACTTCACTTATTGCACTAGTTCAGCGGTGTAACGAAACGAACAGACCCACTTTCATCCACACATCTTTCATACGCATCGGTAGATGTATCGATACATTCGGATTGTATCGCCTAATTCTATCTCACACAGCTTGATGACCCGATCCAGAGACATCTGTTGGTAATTAAGCGAGTTCGCTCTCATTGACCACGTTCTGCAGAACGTTTTTTAATTTTCATCTATTGAAAGTTTTTTGAGTTGAGGTTGAATTATTCTCTTAGATCTGTGGAGGCAAGTGGGACTAGCCTATGGCTACCGCGCGTGCTGAGGGAGAGGAGAGGAAGGTATCGAGTAAGGGAAGCCCTGTGGACCAATAAAGCGGAGTCCTTACGACAGGTCACACGCAGCTGTATTTTCTGGTAATTTTACAAACTCGCAAACGTAACAAAGTAAAACGGTGTGCTAAAAGCTAAGAACGCGGCGTAGAACAAAATGGCCGCGACGCTAACGCAATGGCCGCGATAGAACAAAAATGACCGCAACGCGGGACGCAGAAATCGGAACGCTATATACTGTAATCTCGGCCTGCTAGGACGCGGAGCCGGCTCCTTCTCTCACGCAGGCCGCTTAAGGCGTCGCGAGGGCGACGCGTGGCGCAAGATCACTCGCACTCGCGGGCACTGCGGGCTGACGAGGAATCGCGAGCGACGGAACGAAAGCACTGGCACGCACTAGTTCGTAACGTCGATAGCGGAACGCACAAGGGTGGGCAGCAAGGAACACTCACGAGAACGTCGTGTTGTCCAGAGTCCGAGAAGGAAGAGAGCAGGCCGGGACGCTTCGAAAACAAAACACGATCGCGCCACAGAGCACGTGGTTGGCCGTCGTTGATCGCGTGACACCGCGTGGTTCCGGCGATGTGCGCGACGCGCCGGAAAAGCCGGGTGGCGCTGTAGCAGGTCAGAAGACCGGGCGCGGTTGCAGAACTTGTTTTCTCATATGTAAGGCCGCTCTGATCGGTGGCGCCGCCGGTGACGGCGCGCGAGGCTCGACCGCCACAGATCTACAGAATTAATTTAATGTCAGCATAAGAGTCGAGCATAAGAAACTTCCAACAGTTATAAACTAAAAGTTCTGCTGAATGTGGCCATTGTGACTGCAAATCGATGCACACGTGTGACAGGACAATTACATTGCATTTTGTGTCGTTGCAGATTGTTTATTCATGAGGTTATTATTGGTACCGTCATTCCGTTCTATGCTACGTGCATTTGTAAGTATATCGTGATAATGAATAATAACCGCAAATTCATAACTCATCTGCTGTCATCATATATATATTACATCATATATATATATTACACACGATGTCGCCGACATTCGATAATCCGTTCCAGGCTATGCTCGTTTTCAGAGATCACCTTCAGCTGCTATTAACGGCGCGAAAATATAACACTGCAGTGGTGCAAAGTTCTTCGATGACAACATACGAATATACGTTGCGCAACTCTTGCAAGATGTATTAATTGCAAAATTATATATATATATATATATATATATATATAATCAGGAGTTGTCTTAACTATATACATATATATATATATATATATATAACCAGGAGTTGGCTTAACTATATACATATATATATATATATGTATATCGAATGCCTTACCATTGTCGTATAATGGTAGATTTTTTAAGCAATTCAAAAGTCAATCTCCATTAAGAAGAATACCAGTGAAAGCCTCAAGTTATCTCTCTTGGCTTTGGTAGTTTGTAAACGGAAGTCAAACTGATGTGACATCGATGTGTCATGTGCACATCTGTACTGTATAACAAATAATAACTAATTCAATTATATATAATATATTGATATATTTAATATACTTAAATATGTATATATTAAAAAAATATAATTTAATATATTAAATATATACATGTATATAAATATATATTTTGTATAGATCTAATGTTAAAATAAAATATTTGTTTTTCTAGTCCGTGGCACATGAACATTGCACTACCATGAGCAATCCTGGATTAAAGGTTGAGGTGGTGCTCTCACCATCGAATCGAAAGTCCTGCATTGAGAAACTCAAGTCCTTCCATTTTCCAACAGTACAGAAACCTGTTCCAGAAGCTGCTGTTTTAGTCCCATTATGTATACATAATGGAGAACTTGGTCTCTTGTACACATTAAGATCTATGAAGCTCTCGACCAATCGAGGAGAGGTTGGCTACATTACATTAACCAAAACTTCAGCAAGCTGTTTAACTTCTTTAGTGATCTTTATTATACAGGGTGATCTTGACATCTTACCATAAAAAACTCAATTACTTCAAAACAGTTTACTTAAAGTGGATAAAATTATAATGCTTTGAAAAGGTCTGAAGAAGAGTTATAAGAATATTCGATAAAAATAGGGGGTTTGGATGTCCCAGATATCGAGGCTAAAAATAAGTTTGCCAATCAGAAAATTCAGGACTTGTCTTAACTTTGGCGACATCATCCAAAGTCAAACTGATAACATCAGTAAATAGATTTTCTTAAACCCTATAACTTTTATCTGTAACAGTTTTCTATAAAACTTATATTTTCCGAGATATTTCGGGGTCTGAGATATCTTTTCCTCATCCTGTATAATTTATATATTAAGTCTGCCATAAAATAACGAACATGAACTTCATAAGGACATCTTTCACAGGTTTCTTTTCCCGGTGGTAAACGAGACAAGGAGGATGTTGATCTGATAGAAACTGCGCTGCGGGAAACCTGGGAGGAGTTGAAGATCCCTAAAGACAAGATCGACGTGTGGACCGAAGGAAGCATGATCGGGAAGACCACCGTCAACGTCATGCCTGTGCTGGCTTATGTCGGTGAAATTGTGGTGGAAAATTTGGAGATAAACCGCGACGAAGTAGAGGAAGCGTTCGTGATTAGTCTGCAGAAACTCTGTGATCCTAAGTTTTTTAATTACACTACTTATAGAAACAATCTGATGTTGCCAAATTTTCTGGGTGGCAAGCATCGTGTTTGGGGATTCACTGGCGCAATCACTCACGTAGTACTCCAATGCTTGATACCAAAGGCTTATCAAAACGTGCTCTACTTCTTGCCGAAGAACACAAAGAATCCGAATATATCAGATATCGACGCCGAAAATAAGTCGACCAACAAGAAAAATACTCTGTCAAAGATATGAAAGCAAAAAACGAAGATTAGGAAGAAAATGGACGAAAGGTTTTCTACATTCACTTGAGCTAATAGGAATTGTCCATAATGGTCGAGAAAAGATATTTTTCTTAAAATATTGAACATTTTATACTCTTGAGAAACTACGTCAATTTGAAATCTACTTAGACCGTATTCCGTTACTTGTTATTCGTTATTTACATTATTGCAGTGAATAACGGAACAGAATCTTCAATTGTTTAATTCGATATAGCGAAATACCAGCGGTTATACTAATTAAATTTATATTAATCAGTCTTAATTCTGTCCGCTCAATATATGGATAATGGTAATGGATATGGTATGGTATGGTATGGTATGGATATGGTAATATATGGATAATGTACAAAAGAATACGTTGGTTTGTAGGTGTTGTAGGTTTTTTTGAGAAAATTTATAGCGGATTGTACTTGTATTTTAATTGTTATATACATATACAAGTAGATTATCTATGATTATAACTGTTATAGTTATTAGAATTACAAATTAATCATGAATATATTGTTTTTAACGTTACAACGAAAGCCTGATAGGAAAAATTGTCTATAGATGTACATGAATTAATTTCTTTTCTCTTTGTTTTTTAACATGAGCATTGTTTATTTAATTTGTTTATTTAATAGGTAATAAATAGCACTTGAAATAGCACTTGAAATATATTTTATAGTGTCTTTCACAATATACGACGAGTTGTAACTTGAGCAAGAATAATGATAATGAGATGATTCGAGAAAAGCTTCACGGCGTGAAGCTTTTAGTTTTCATTCACATATTCGAATATGTGATTTATTTATCTTTACATTGTTACACGAACATAAAAATCAAATGTCAGAATGATCGATAAAGTTTGTTGAGTTGTACCTGAATGAAAAATAATAAATATGACTTAGAACGTCTGAAAGCGTGAACTCCTTCTTTTTAATTCGCACACCTGCAGATTTCGATACTATATTTTTTCACCGAGTGAGCATTGAAGTAAAATTGCGCTTTCGATTTTGATCGCTCGCAGAAAACGAACAAATCTATGTACGACGTTCGCTAGTAAATGAGTAAAAATTTTGATGTTTTCAACAGAGGTAACAGTCACATTTTTTACATAAATAATTTTTCAATATAAAAATTGAACTGAAAGATGAGATTGAAAATTAAATAATAGTCATTTCTTATTTACTTCGATATACTTTAATTAAAAACGACAGCATCATCATGTAATGTACATATCTAAAAGTAGAGACTTCAAACTGTAAAATGTTTCTCGAATCATCTTGTTATCATTATTATTGCGGAAGTTACAGCCTGTTCAACTTTGCGTGCTTTTTATGGCAATAAAGGTGCGGCTAAGAAGCCATCAAGTCGCACTAGTTAAAAATAAAAGTACCTCTGATTGATCATTGAATAATATCACTTCGTTCTTTTTATTAGATGTACAAATATGACTTTAGGAATATTCAATAGATGGCGAAAGTCATACTACTGGCATTATGTTAAAGTTGGCAATACATGTATTTGAAAGGTGTGTACGCAGCTTTAAAACGTAGTACATGTCATTTGACTGAAGTGTAAATAACTATTATTTTTATCGCATTGAAAATGTCGAATTTTGTACCAGAAAAACGCCATTTTTGGGAAGTTTTACTTCATTATTTTTCTCTAAAGAAAAGTGCAGTTGAAATCCATCGTTTGCTTGTGGAAGCTTACAAAGAACATGCTCCATCAGTACGCATGTATGAAAAGTGATTTAAACGATTCCGAAGCAATGATTTTGATTTGGATGATAAAGGACATAGAAAGCCACTGAAAAAATTTGAAGATGCACAATTGGAAGCATTATTTGACAAAGATGCGTGTCAAGCAGAAAAAGAATTGGCAACAGCATTAAATGTTACCCAACAATGCATTTCCTTATGTCTGCATGTAATGGGAATGGTTTAAAAACAAGGAAGTTGGGTGCCACACGAATTGAAAGAAAGACATTGAAAGAAGAAAAATGTGCGAATTGTTGTTGCAACGATAAAAAAGAAAAGGTTTTTTACATCGAATTATTACTGGCGATGAAAAGTGGATTTACTACGACAATCCTAAACGCAAACTAGCATAGGTCATCCATTGCAGCAAGATTATGTTATGTATCTGACGGGATATGAAGGGTGATTTTTATGAGCTACTGCAATCGTCTGAAACTATCACTGGTGAACGGTACCGACTACAATTAATACGTTTGAACCGAACTCTGAAGGAAAAACGACCGGAATGGGAGAATATATATGACAAGATAATTTTACAACATGACAACGCCAGACCGCATGTTTGTGCATCCGTCAAGAATTATCTAAAAAGAATGAACTGGGAGATTCTACCTCACCCGCCGTATTTACCAGACATTGCTCCTTCAGATTACTATTTGTTTCGGTCCATGGCGTCGGCCCTTTCTGGAGAGCGATTCAGTTTATATGAAGAAATTAAAAATTGGCTTGATTACTGGATTGCTTCAAAACAACCAAATTTCTACCAGCGTGGAATCTGTTTATTGCTTGAAAGATGGGCCAAGGTTGTGGCTTCCGATGGAGCATACTTTAAATAAAGTAAAAATGATTTTTATGTTTCAAATCAATGCGTTTTTTATCAAAAAATCCTTAAAGTCGTAATTGTACATCTATATACTAGTAAAAATACTAATACTAGTAAAAAGAATAGAGGATCTAAGAATGCAGCCTACTTGATCCGATATTATGATTTCGAATCTTTATCGAGGAAAGTGGCGGCACGTAGCGGAGACTTCGGAATTAATTTACGTCGTGTCTTCAGCCAAGACTCGAACTATTTTTTAAACCATTTGCTCAACCGGGTTTTGAACGTTTGTCGAAACACCGCCAGATGGCGTAAGGTGATCTTGGCAGTGTGCAATCCGCACATAACCTAGCAAAGTTTCGCGCTTTTCCACAACTTTAAACCTAAGTCATGTTTACTTGTATTTTGTAAATATGTGGTATAAAGTATATTCATAGGGTTTCCTAAAGGATACGCTAGGAAATAAAGAAACTCGAAGAGAAATATGGCGGTGGTGATCGAAACGACCATCGGAGATTTCACCGTGGATCTCTATACCGAGCAACGTCCTCAGAGTAAGCACATTCACAAATACAATATTTTTTTTCAATAGTTTAACTGCCGGCTGCCAACACATTGAGCGACGAATTTCTATTATTCACACGTTTTATTTCGTATATATGTTAACTTCGCATCATATCGCATGATTGATGATTTTGCTCCCACAGCTACACGGAACTTCCTGAAACTATGCAAGCTCAAGTACTACAACTGGAACCTCTTCCACTCGGTACAGAGCAACTTTATTGCACAGACTGGGGATCCCACCGGCACTGGGAAAGGTGGAGAGAGTGTATACGGGATTGTATTGGGTGAGAAGGCTCGGTACTATGAAGCTGAGCAGATGCCAAAGGTCAAACACAGCAAGATAGGTCTGCTCTCCATGGTCAACTGTGGCAACAACATGTTGGGTTCCCAATTCTTCATCGCACTGGGATCAGAACTCCAATCCTTGGACAATGAGCATTGTGTGTTCGGCGAGATCACGGAAGGACTGGAGATCATCCTGAAGTTCAATGAAACCATTTGCGATGGAGACCACAGGCCATATCAGGACATACGGATATCGCACACAGTCATCTTGGAGGACCCGTTCGATGATCCCCTGGGATTTGTGGTTCCTGACAGAAGCCCTGAGCCTACTAAAGAAGCTCTGATGGTATACCACTTACAGGATTATGCTTGGGAACCTGTATTCTTCTCTCATCCTTCTTTAACTTATGTATTTACCTTGTTTATAGAGCGACAGAATTGGAGCGGACGAAGCGATCGATGATACAACTGGCATGACTACGGAACAGATTATCGAGATGCAGAAGTACAAGGAGGCGAAAACGAGAGCTACGATATTGGAGATCGTAGGCGACATACCGGACGCCGACATAGCTCCGCCGGAGAACGTCTTGTTCGTGTGCAAGTTGAACCCGGTGACGAACGACGACGACCTCGAGATTATCTTCAGCCGCTTCGGGAAAATCGTCGGGTACGTGGACGCTTCATTCATGGTGTTAATCGTCTTGTATACGTTTGTATATTATTACGTTGAATATAATTTATGTAATAATTACTTCCCTTTCAGTTGCGAAGTTATAAGAGACCACCAGACGGGAGACTCTTTGCAGTACGCGTTCATCGAATTCGCCGATCGCAAGAGCTGCGAGGAGGCGTACTTCAAGATGGACAACGTACTGATCGACGATCGGAGGATACATGTGGACTTCTCGCAATCGGTCGCGAAGATGCGCTGGCGGGGTAAGGGTAAGGGTATCCGATATTTCGACGAGAACGAGAAGACGAAGAAACGCGAGGAGAACTCGTCGTCGTCGTCGAGGAAACACGAGATCTTACGCGGACGGGACCGGGACAACGGTAAAAACAGGGAAGAAAAGAGAAGGAAGGAAGCCGATAAGAAGGATAAGGATCACAGCTCGGAACACAGGAAGCATGAACGCAGAAAAGAAGATAAAAATGCGAGAGAGAAGAATAAACACGATGACGAGCGAAGAGAGAGGAGAAGGAAGGAGGAACGACGGGATAGGAACGGCGACAGGATCCGTGATCACAGCGCAGATCGGTCGGAAAAACGAAACAAGAGGGACGATCATAGTGATAGGGAGCATCGACGTCGTGAGAGGAAGAAGCATGCAGAGGATGATGAAGACACCAGACATCGAGAAAGGTTGCACAAGCACAAGAGGAAACGGTGAAGGAGTAACGGAGACGGTGAATTGGAAAGTTTGGAGAAATGCGAAGAGACAATGTCATTGAAAAGCAATTTATCTTTCTCCGAGATCACTAGAATGAAGAGATGAACGTGAACATACGGCAAACATGTGTATAGTCTCGAACGGGCTTCTTGAAAGAAATTAAATTTGATCATTTTCGGAAAGTTGAGAAAAGTTAATAGAAGCAATTTATATCGCTTCCTTTTGTATCCATCTCTCCGAAGCCCGGACATCCATTCGCTATTTTACAAATGCACAAAACTATTTCCTTTTGTCCCACACCATGTGTTTCTATACATCTTTACTTTCTTTCACAAATCATTCATTAACTCCTTGACATACAAATTAAATGGAACTTAATGCGACCAAAAAATACTATTTAATTTCGCTCAACTGAACAGTTACGTGAAAGCTGAGAAAGAGTACATTTTATTTTGAAATTTGGATATTTATTAACCAGATTGATGTTAACAAAGAACATCTAAATAACATTAAAAAATAATAATTTAATAGTTCTGTACAGTATGGAATATTTCGAAACATTTTGGAACATGTAAAGGAACTAAACATTTTTTGCACTGCCACGTTGTTTCACTTCTTATGTTGTTTTTTACGCATACGCGGCATCTCTTTGTAGGTAATTTCTCATCGTCATTTTCATATAATCACCATCACATCCGACTTATACATGTTACAGGGATTATTTATAATCTTTACTAAACTCAAATATTGGCTAGTATAACATTCACTGTGCGAGACTCCTGCTAAACTGAATGTTACTTTGAGTGTGCTCCTTCTTATATGTTTGATGCTTTTTTGTTCTTGGGCCATCTCGAACGTTATAAACAAACGAGAATCGACGCATGAGTGAAGCAACTAATGTAATCTAATTGTAAACTGCACGGCGTCCGCCGAAAAAAGCGCTTGACGAGTCAGACTCGTCAGTCTACAGTGGCCCATGAAATAAATGACGAGTCAGACTCGTCATTGTATGTCAAGGGGTTAAAGGCCAGATGTCGGGGAGACAGGTAGGTATACAGATAACAGAACAAAAAAGTAAACAGGTATGTTCTTTCACAAATACGTCTTTCTGGGAACAATATCCGGTTATGATCCTTTTATAATAGAAGGTTTGATCAAGACGATAGAATAGAGCTACTAAAATGGAAAACGTGCAAATTTGTGCGAGGAAAAAGTATAAATCGTAGGAAATTGATGATAACTCGAAGATAACTTAATTGTGTTTCATTCTATATGATTCGTCTATTTTTACATTTTTATTTTTCCGCCTGTATATCCTTTCTATAGTTTTAAAGGTTCGGGAAAAAATCTGATCCTTTTTCATTATTCCTCGGATTTCTCCGATTTCTATTCCAAGGGTAGAAATTCGTTTAGAAAAATTCAGATGTGTTTAGTTAAAACCTGCCATATTTTCTTATGGTATAAAGAAGATAATAGACTGAAAAATTGGAAAACCTCGGTTTTTCCGAGTCTTCAAAATTATCTGGGAAAAATTTTCTTTATATATAATTAGATATAGTTACATACAAAGCGTCATATATAGAATATGTTCATATATAAAAATATGTGATTAAATATAAACATATGTATTAATATATAATTTTACATGTATATATTTATTATATATATATGGACATATTCTATATATAGTTATATTATAAGACATTTTTCCCCGAGTATATTTTTTTCCTTCTAAATTATCTATTTATTTAATTTTCACATATAAAGTGGCAAAAGGAATACGTAGTTTAACAATGATACACAGAAGTAGGTAACTCGAAGTTCCCGAGTCTCGATATAGAAATTCCCGGATCGATCGCGTCTCGGCGAGATACTCGAGTGTCACTACTTCCGATGACCAATAAAAAAATCATGATTTCTTACCCGATTTTCAATCAACAACCGTGGTGCAGGAATATCCAAATACTACCCGAGACGTCACCAACGTATCCCTTCCGATTCCAATCCCGATGCTTTCAAGTCGCACGCGCATTTATTTCGATTCGCTCGTGCTTCGTGACCGACGATTAAAGAGCGCAAAATAACTTTTTCTTTATCGATTGCTCCTCAAGTTGTTTTGCTCCCCCGAGCTCGCCGAGGATCGCTACGGAAACGTCGCATCGCGAGTGTCGCAGGAGAGCTCGTGTCATCGTCGGTCACCCTCTCGACACTTTCGCCGAGGGAAAATCGACGCAAAACTCGTCAGGATCTACGATTTCGCCAAGGCGAAACATCGATTTATCGCGCGAATTCTCCCGAAGAAAAAACGCGTGTCATTTCGCGTATTTCTCTCTCTCTCTCTCTCTCTCTGTCTCTCTCGCTCGCTCGCTCACTCACTCACTCACTCACTCACTCGGCGATCATACGCGGGACAGAATATTATGTACGATGAGAATGCAGAGTCCATTGTTGAGGAGAATCGCGGAGAACGTCCAGCGCGTTTTAGAAGTGCGCGCTCTCCCACACCCACCCAGGCAGAACAAATTTCTGAAGGATCACTTAAAGACGTGTGAAAAAATATCAAAAGAAACAGAACGTTTTTTGAACGTTTTTGAGACATCTTTTGGAAATTTGCCGCCTGGGACAATCTTTATTTCACAGACGAATAAAGAACGTTAAATATGCCATTTTTAATTTCTCAAGTTTCTCTGTTTTTTTCTTGCACGAGAAAAGAATATAATAGAGAAAAAATTGGTATTATGGCCTAAGCTACAAAGCTACGTTTTAGGTACATTTCAGCATTTAATATTACACATACTTCCTTATTTTTCTTAATCTTGGGCGTATTATTACACGAATATGTGTACACTTGAGTGATTTGTCCGTTATTTAACATTTTACATTCCGCTCTACACATTTCGAGTTATGCAGAGTTAAATAATAGCATGGCATTTTGCTAATTTGGCGTCCCGCTGAAATAGACTTGACATGACCTCTTTTTCGAGACTTTCATGTCGAAGTAGTTATTGGACAAGTCAATTATGCAAGTTAAATTTAAAAGTATCTATTCGTTTTGCAGAAACTGCCCTTTTGACAGTTCATATCTACCTTCTGACAAGTAAGTCAGCGTCAGTTCATACTTTATATTCATTATTATACCTTCTAAGAGAATTGACTCTACATAAATATATAAATTTGTAATAAAAGACTTTTTCAAACAAAGCCAATTTTTTAAATCTATTTTAATAAGAGGCCACATTACCACCCTTGTTCCCCCTCGACCCCATTTTATATGGGGTTGGAAGCTGAAATATATAATTATACATAATTTTATCTAATTGCAAATAAGGATAATTTTTCTCGGGTAAACATTCACCGTGCTACTTGGGCGGAGCTGTGAAAAGTTTTCAATTAGAAGTACTGATTATTAACGAAGTTACCGTACAAAACGTAGATTAAAATCGCAACATCAGTTTCTCCTTTATACATAATACAACATTGCGCCAGCTTGAGACTCAGAAAGACATATAGCGTACACAAGTCGGCGACGGCCCACACTCGGGCGCGAGCCGAGTTTGCGTTGACGCGTCTCCTAGGTGGGTATAGCGTGTGTCGCCGCCGTCTCTCTCTCATCGATTGCGCGCGGCGCGGATCGCTCGCGAAGTTTCTCCGTTAGAGTAGGTAGCCGTGGGTAGCCGCCGCGATCGTGCGTATCGGCCGCGCTCTTGCTCGCGATCGCACGGACCCCCGCTGGGCAGCATCGAGGTAGTCGTGGTATCCCGGCGATCGTAGCCGCCGAGGTGGGCCGCACCGGTGCATCCCGCGAGGCTCGTGTCGAGATCGTCGGCCGAGAGCGAGTCCCGTAGCGCGGCCGTGTGAGAGCCCCGTCATCGGCCCGGGTTTATTGTGTCGGCCAGATCGGGCCACTTAACCGCCGCCATCTTGCTGCGCTGCGAAGGTAGAAAAGGGGCTTGTGACAGGCCTGTCTCAGCCAGTCGCGCGGAAGAAGGGACGAGGTGACGGAGAAAGAGGGAGAGGAAAGGAAAGAAAGAAAAAGAAAGAGAGAGCGGTTCCTTCATGCGGTACCTGTCCGGCCGCTTCGGTTCATAAGTGATACTCAGTTCGCCGAGCGACGAGCAGCGGAATAGAGTAGCCTGAAGGAGTGAGGACAAGAGAGAGAGAGAGAGAGTAAGAGAAGAGGAAGAAAGGAAGAGTGTCCGCTGCGCCGATATACACCTACCTCCAGGAAGGCAGCAGGCGCGCATACATACACACATACACGTACGCGCGCACTCACACACTTACTCGCTCACCCACGCACCACCGTCGTCGTTGCCTCCTCCTTCTTTCACGATGGCCACGGAGACGCCGAGAGAGCGCGAGATCGCCGCCGAGGACAGCATCAAAGTGGTCTGCAGGTTTCGGCCGCTCAACGATTCCGAGGAGAAGGCCGGTTCCAAGTTCATCGTCAAGTTCCCATCCGGCGGCGAGGACAACTGCATCTCCATCGGGGTAGGTCGCGCGTGTGCGGTACTTCGCCGAGGCTTCGAGCGATCGTCGGCTGTCGATGCGATCCTCGGCATAGGGGAGGATCCGGGAGGTCGAGCAACAGCTGACGACCGCCCGACGCGATCGTTCTGCGTTCGCTCGCTCCCCTCGTTGTCGCGTATATCGCGAGCGTAGACGTTGTGTATGTAGGTATGGGTGTATTGGAATTATGATTCATCCCGGAGTCTTTAGAGATTGCCTAAGCTCCATGGTTTTTGAGCAACTTCGAGATACGCGGCCGGAGATAGGAGAGAGAGTTACATTGTGTTCCGAGAATCTTCCCTACGTCAGGTGTTCGAGATGCACGCGTCCCGGGGAATAAAACTCGGGCGAGCGACTCGGCTCCCTGTATAGGATAAGAGACGTAACGGGAGATTCTCCGTCGATGTTCCGTCGGACGCAACGAGTGACGCCCGTGTAATGCGTTGATTTCAGGGGAAAGTGTATCTGTTCGACAAAGTATTCAAGCCGAACGCCACGCAAGACAAAGTGTACAATGAGGCGGCCAAGTCCATCGTCACGGATGTCCTGGCGGGGTACAATGGAACCATCTTCGCGTACGGTCAAACGTCTTCAGGTACCGCGCTTCTTGTCCAAGACAGTCCTCTTTGGAAGCACAGCTGCCTAATGTTCGGCGTAACGTTTTCATATAACGCAAAAGCTGATGCTAACGTTGTTGCGCAATGTTACCGCAAGCTTCTGTATTATGTGAGTTTATTTTACAACTGTTTTCTGAGCTGAAATTTGATCATTTCCCTGGATCTAAAGGAATGATCCAATCTCGGTTCAGGAAACTTTCAATGGTAGGAAATAAATATTCCACTGAATGTGACCAATTTCTTTCTTTCTTTCCAAGGAAGAAAAGTGACTGCTCGCAAGAGTCGTTTGTTAGACAGCTGTCTTTTAAAGCAAAAATCCTAACTCATACACTATGTCAAAGCAAAGATCCTAACTCGTACACTGTGTACAATTTCCGCACACAGGTAAAACGCACACGATGGAGGGAGTCATTGGCGACCCCAACAAGCAGGGTATCATTCCCAGAATCGTCAATGACATTTTCAACCACATTTACGGCATGGAGGAGAACCTGGAGTTCCATATTAAAGTATCGTACTTCGAGATTTACATGGACAAGATCAGGGATCTCCTCGATGGTGAGAGGTTTCAGCTCAATTTTACTAGAGATGTGCCAATCGAGAATTTTCGATGTCGAATCGAATCTCACTTTTTTCATTTTCGAATCCGAATCGAATGAAATTGAATCGTTGAAACATAACTTTCAATTAATGACATAATCATTAAACACATATTTAAATATTTAGAATAAAATTGATAGTGATGAAACATATTTTATTCAGGAGGTAGCAATAATTGAAACAAATATGAAAGATCATAAATTACTTACTGAACTATTTTGAGAAGCATTGATATGATCATCGGACATTTACAATCAATGCAGAAATTCAGTGATTTTAGAAACGCAAATTCATAAAAATATATACTGCGCATCGCAGATATACATGCACATTTACGAGACACACGTCAGATTAATTATAAAATTAAAATTGCGATATAAGCCAAATTTTATACTTATATTTGATTAAAATTTTCACTGATGTCAGCGCTTCTCAGTTATTCGCAGATCCATTTGATATCATGAAAATTATTTAAGTACGTAAATTTTAATTATTTTTCTCTTGCCGATGTCTTGAGTTACTGCTTTTAATATTTTCGATGAGGACCTCAACGTACGGTTTTTCAACAACACATTTTTCGAGTCACGCTAATTTCCGTAAGAACGACTGGGGGTGTCTTTAATAGTACTTCGTCAATTCTATGCGCGATTTGTATTCGGATCTTCTCGATTCGAAATTTTCGAATTATTCGGATTCGAATCAAACAAGACTAGATTCGAATTCAGATAATTCGCACATCTCTTTACATTGGCCCCCTCACAGCTTGAGGACCGTGATTGCCCGTATCGGTGATTTCCAAGTGGCGTGTCTCGCGGCACTGATCCCTCCTGTTTTTTCTTTTTAGTATCTAAGGTTAACTTAAGCGTGCACGAAGACAAGAACCGCGTGCCGTTTGTGAAGGGCGCGACCGAGCGGTTCGTTTCTAGTCCTGAGGAGGTGTTCGAGGTGATAGAGGAGGGCAAGTCGAATCGGCACATCGCCGTGACCAATATGAACGAGCATAGTTCACGTTCTCATTCCGTGTTTCTTATCAACGTCAAGCAGGAGAATCTGGAGAATCAAAAGAAGCTTTCCGGCAAATTGTACCTCGTCGATTTAGCCGGTTCAGAAAAGGTGAATGAGACGTAAAAAAAAAGATAGAAAGAGAGAGAGAGAGAGTAGATATGAGAAACGATAGACCGCTGTTTTCACGCATTCCCGCTCTGTCTTGCTAGGTTTCTAAAACCGGTGCTGAAGGAACGGTGCTCGACGAAGCGAAGAACATTAACAAGTCCTTGTCGGCGCTCGGTAATGTAATTTCAGCTCTGGCTGACGGCAATAAGACTCACATTCCTTACCGTGACTCCAAGTTGACGAGAATACTGCAGGAATCATTGGGTGGCAACGCCAGGACTACGATCATCATATGTTGCTCACCGGCTAGCTTCAACGAATCCGAGACGAAGTCAACATTGGATTTTGGTTCGAACTATCTCTTGCCTCTTTTCTCCGTTTCTCACTGAAACTTTTGCGGATTCTTTTGTAAAAACGCGTTGTTTATTAAACAGGTAAACGCGCCAAGACTATCAAGAACGTCGTATGCGTGAACGAGGAGTTGACGGCCGAAGAATGGAAGCGCCGCTACGAGCGCGAGAAAGAGAAGGCGGCGAAATGGAAAGCCAAGGTGGACAAATTGGAGGCGGAGTTGTCGCGTTGGCGGCAGGGTGAGACCGTCAACCCCGACGAGCAGGTCAACCTGGTCGAAGCACCGGATGTTACCACACCAATCAACGTCTCTATAGAAGGTAAGAACGATAGAGAACACGGAATCGAGCGTTCACGATTCGCTTGACTTGTAAAAAAATTGTAAAAAGACTTTTAGGTAGGTTTTTAGGTTACAAATCTTTCAATTCATGAAACTAAATCTCTTTCTTCACTTCTTTTCTCTACAGGCAAATTAGATGACAGTCCGATGCCGGCCACTCCTGGTGGCGGCCTCATGGCCGGTTCTCTTTCGAACGAGGAGCGACAGAAGCTCGAGGAGGAACGCGAGCGGCTGTACCAACAATTGGACGACAAGGACGAGGAGATCAATCAGCAGTCGCAGTATGTCGAGAAACTGAAGGAGCAAATGGAGGAACAGGAGGAACTTATTGCCAGCGCGAGGCGGGATTATGAGCAGCTGCAGCAGGAAATGAACCGAATACAGCAGGAGAATGAGAGCGCCAAGGAGGAGGTGAAAGAAGTGCTACAGGCGCTGGAGGAGCTCGCGGTCAATTACGACCAAAAGTCGCAGGAGGTAATTGCCTGTGATTAAGAACGCGAAAGGAAGAAGATTTCCGCGTGCGAACACGCCACTTAATCGACGTTTCCCTGCAGGTCGAGCTGAAGAACAAGGAACAAGAAACCATGACGGAGGAGCTCCTGGCCAAACAAGTGGCTCTCAACAACACCGCGTCCGAGCTGCAGCAGTTGCGCGACATGTCTGCCCACCAGAGGAAGCGCATCGCGGAGATGCTGGCCAACTTCTTGAAGGACCTGGGCGAGATTGGCGTTGCGATCGGCGGCGACGAGAACTTGAAGGTGAGAGGAGGCGCGAAGCCGCCGAATGAAATGAGAATATCTGCGGACGCGCGCGCATGCACGCATGCGTCGTTAATTAACTCGCGGTGCAAGCAAATATTTTCTCAGGCCGCGTTTTCTTTTTCAATTGTAATGACCCCCTCCCCTTCTTCAGGTTGCGCCGGAGAGCAACGGCAAGCTCGAGGAGGAGTTCACGGTGGCACGACTATTCATCAGCAAGATGAAGTCCGAGGTGAAGAACCTGGTTCAACGGTGTCAAGGATTAGAAAGCTTTCAAGTAGACTGTAACAAGAAAGTGAGTGTGGCCGAGTTTCGCGTTGTCGCATTAATCACGATTTCTTCCACGTGGTGTGGATTTCTAAAATTAAATCTCGCTTTACGTCAATACCACCAGGTTTCCGAGTACGAGAAGGACTTGGCCGAGTGCCGGCTGTTGATCTCACAGCATGAGGCGCGTATGCAAACGCTGACGGAATCGATGAAGGAGGCCGAGGCGCGCAAGCGAACCTTGGAGGAGGACGTGGACGCGTTGCGCGAGGAATGCGCCAAGCTGAAAGCCGCCGAGCAGGTGCAGGCGGTCACCAACAAGGAGAAGGCCGAGGAGAAGGAAGCCGCGACGAAGATGCGAGTGGCCCTGGAGGAGCAGATGGATCAGCTGAGAGACGCGCATCAGAAACAGGTTTTGTGTCCGGCAGCAGCCTTCTCGACCGTGATTTATCTGTATTTATGCGCTCACCCGACGTGGGCATGTTATGACGGTAACTTGGCAACAGTTGGGCTCACGCAGAAAAACGTAAGACCAGGGTTGCCACAGACCTGGAAAACCGGGAATAGTCATGGAAATTTAAAATATCGGAACCTGGAATTTTTAACTGTGCTCACAATTCCCTTAAATGCTCTCAGTTGCATTCTTTTTTCCAATACTTGTTCATTCTTTGTTGACCTGAATTTATATCTAGGATTATACGGAGTGTTCTTTAAGTACCCAGCCATACTCAAGGGTTCTTTGGTTTATTTCAAGTAAGAAAAAGTTCATATAAATATGTATCCGAAACGGCTTAGTTTCCGAAATACAAGGTGTTGAAGTTTCTTCAAGAAAATGTGCTGCTTCCAAAAGTTTAAGATTACATATTGCTCGTGGAAAATTTTCCACTCTCGCCTGGGAAACATAGGAAAGTCGGGAAGGAATTTCAAGATTCATTTTCTGTGAGCAACCCTGCGAGACTTGAGCAAAAAAAATTGACCAGTCACAGTCGATTATTCTTCTTGCGGTCGAAGAATAATCGACTATGATTGGTCAATTTTCCCACTGCTTATGTTTTTGCCATGGGCCTTAATATTCAGAATTAAACCCCCGGGTAGTAAACTCGCTTGAACGAGTCCGGGGGAGTAACTGAATAGCGACTGACGCTGAAATATTGAGACAAACGCAAGTCCCGCTTCGTAGTAATTACATAATTCGCTGTTCGCGTCGCGCTCGCCGCTTAATCTTCCTTACCTTGCTCTTTCTGCCGTTAATCACAGAGACGCGATAATTACACTCTTTGAAAATTGCATCAACTTCGAAGGGAGGGAGAAGCTCGCTTCGGTGTAACTGGTTTTCACGCGATGCACCGGTGACCTGATTGTTTTAATCGGGGTTTTGAAACGGTAGGGTTGCTCGTTGAGGGACACGCAAGCGACGGCATCATACTAATGCGACGTCACTTTAGTTCGTTCGTTATTGGATCTGATTTTTAATTTTGTTTTCAATTCACGTTGGCTCTTCTTGATCGTGTGCTTAATTTCACTCAAGGTTGCCGCCCTCCGAGACGAGCTATCCGAGAAGCAGGAGCTCATCAGCGAACTGAAGGACCTGAACCAGAAGTTCACTCTGGCACACCAGCAGATGCAAGCCGATTATGAGCGCCTGAAGCAAGAGGAGGCTAACAAATCAGTGAAACTGCAGGAACTTATGCTGTTGAACGAGCGTCGAGAACAAGTGCGTTTTCGAGATAAGTTCACGCACTATCATGTTCATGTGTCTCCCGACATTATCAAACTTTATTTCAAGCGCAGCTTTCCTTACTAATTTCGGCAAATTTTAACCCTTTGCACTCGAGGGCTCCGAAGCGGAGCCATTTAAAATTTGTCTTCAAACTCTTCAAACTCAAATGCAAATAGCAAGAGCGGAATATCCTATACACAATAGTTTTTACGATTTGTCTTTGTCCTTATGTTATGAACTGAAAATTATTTGCATTGTCTCCATAGCGGAGCCCTCGAGTTTGAAGACAAATTTTAAAAGGCTCCGCTCCGGAGCCCTCGAGTGCAAAGGGTTAAGTTTACTTCAGTATTTCTTATTTTTAATCTTTATCGGTCGTAAGTCACCTCTCACGTGACAACAATACTTCGTCGCTGCGGTCGTACGTCACGTAGGAGGTGACAAGTTCGCATATTTACCGAAACCAGCTACAACCTAGTGAGAATCACGCATAAAAAGCTAGCGTCCGATAAAGGTTAAAGAAGAAATTCGTTCTTTATATTTTCTCTTTGCTTAGGCTGAACCGTAAAAAAGAGATCGATCATGAGAATTCATGTTCGACAATTAGCTTTTTTAAGAGCAGAGAAGATTTAAAGAGAACAGATAGTAATAATAATATAGTTAAAGAGAATATAGGTAATATAATATAGGTAAAGAGAATAGATAGTAATAATAATATATATAACAAAAATTCCGGACGTAATATATGTCAAATAAAGGGTTACATGATTTTTTTTTTTTTTTTATTTTAGTTTAAAGTTTTTATCGGATTTGTTAGAAAAAAAGACCATGACTGATAGTAGCACAACTTGTTTGAAAAACAAATGAAAACTGTGTTTTCTTCAAGTATTATGTAGTAGAATTGATTGTGTACGTTTATTCATGCATAGTTCTCATTTGTTTACGAAGCTAAAAATATTTAAAAAGGGAACTCAAGAAGACAGCTATTATTATGAGTGATTATCATATCTATTATTTCCTTCAAATTATATACAAAATTAGGAAGAGGAGGAGATTTATTATATCTGAATATGTGGTTATAAGACTGAGTTGAATGTAAATTCGTTCGTATTTAAACATAAAGATATAGGTCCCATGTGATTTTTTTTGTATAATTTTTTTTATAATTTTTTTGTAATGCAACCCGTCCCCTCTCCCCCAATTCAGGTTTTTGTCTCTATTATTAGTCGTTTTAATAAGGTGAATATTTTTAATTTCTCAGAGGAATGATATAACGAATAAATAACTTAAATTTTAACCTACAAATTATTTTGAAAATAATATCATCGTATTTGTTTCAGGCAAGGAAGGATCTCAAGGGATTGGAGGACACGGTAGCCAAAGAACTTCAGACTCTGCACAATCTACGCAAGCTATTCGTTCAAGACTTACAGGCTAGAATAAAAAAGACCATCAACGCAGAAGACAACGAAGACGACGGCGGCTCGCTCGCACAGAAGCAGAAGATATCCTTCTTGGAGAACAATCTGGACCAACTGACGAAGGTATGTTCTAAACTCGCGCAATGTAATCGATATTACTCATTCGGAGTATTCACTACCTGGAAAGACCTGGAAAACCTAGAATTCTCAGGGAATTTTAAATAGACATTTGTCTGCAAGCCATACTATAGCGTTGTTCACAGACAAATATTGGTTGATTGCATTTTATTTAATAATATTTTCTTCATTAAGAATCATAGAAAAAAAATAATTCAGGATTTCTTCCGACTTGTTTTTAATTAATTTTAATAATGAAAGCGCTATATAAATCGTAGGCACAAATTTATTAAGATTCTATGTATATGTGCATTTAAGGTGGTTTTTAAGTTTCCTTTTAATACTTAATTATTAGCACTTTTATATTTATAATAGATTCTCATTTACTCAATATCTACATATGTAACTTAAATATTTAACTATATTGTTCTGATATTTAGAGCACACTGATTTTACAACTAATGCAATAATCAGTAATGAAGATAACGATTTCGTGTTTACATATATTTTTTTTGTTAGTATAAAAATAAAGTTTTATGCTATATAAAATATCTTTTGGAATTCTTACAGTTTCCTTGAAAATTTTTCAAATTTAATCATTGAAATTCGAGGGATTTTTAATTTGATTCTATGATTTATAAATTTTTATGAATAGAAAATATTAAGGACTTTGCACAATAAATGTACATATCAAATGTGTGCATGTATATATATATATATATATATATATATATATATCAATTTGCAAAATATATTTAAAGCACTTTCATTTTATCTGGAACCTTTAATAAATTGCCGGAATATCAGGGATATTATATTCTCAGGAAATTCCTCTTGGGAGTTTGAGTAAATACCCTGCCATCGCTCCGTTGCATTTTCGTTGTCGTCATCGACGTTGACTCACCTTTCTTTTATTCTTATCATCATTACCCGTCGCAGGTGCACAAGCAACTCGTCAGGGACAATGCCGACCTACGCTGCGAGCTACCCAAGCTAGAGAAGAGACTGCGGGCTACGATGGAGCGCGTCAAAGCCTTGGAGACAGCATTGCGTGATGCCAAAGAGGGAGCAATGCGAGATCGTAAGCGCTATCAGTACGAGGTAGACCGAATCAAGGAGGCTGTTAGACAAAAGAATCTGGCGCGTCGCGGACCGAGCGCGCAGATCGCAAAACCAATTCGCGCTGGTCAGCATCATTTGAGCACCGTCAGCATCCGAACCGGCAATCGTGGTAAGGAGTCTTCCACTTCTCGGCCGAGTGCCAGTTAAACAAACAGTCGTCTCTCTCTCTCTCTCTTTTTTTTTTTTCTTACTTCAACATCTCTCTCCCTCTCCCTCTCTCTCTCTCTCTCTCTCTCTCCTCCGCAAATTTTTCTTTCATTTCTTGTGTATACATACACATATACAATCGTCATGTTTTGTTTTTTTTTAGATTCACTTAATTAAAAAATTAAAAACGCTTGCATTGCGTCGTTGTGGGTTTGTTCGATTTTGTACAAAGGAAGTCGCCGCAGGCGGCTTTAGAGTAAGTGAGCAGTTTTTGATACGATTAGGGAAACCAGGGAGGTACTTTTTCTCCCTTTTGCCCTTTTTAGATTTTGTTGTTATCTCAAAGAATGAGAGAGAAATCAAGACGTTCTTATGCAAACATCATAGATATTTTAATAATGTATCTAACTATATTGATCAAATTAGAAAATAATGTGATTCGTAAGGTAATTTATATTTTATATTTTAGAAAAACAATCGAAATGTACCAAGTGTTCCCTATTCCGAGATACTTGATCCAGGAATGGGGGAAACTTGATTCATGGGGGATTGTGTCACCCCTGTGTTATAATTAGTGCAATAAAAGATATTAAATAATCATGATCAATATTTATTAAAGGCTCTTGTACGATTAAACGAGTTATAAAATATAATGTTAAAAATAAAATAACAAGTTATGTTTATCTTGGTTAACCTAACCATTTTATAATAAATATAAATTTTTAACAAAAAATAAAAATTATTTTTTGGTTCTCGGACTGGCTTTATATTGGGCAACATTTGCCCAATGAATTGTCTAATAACCGATATTAGACCGTATTTATTGTCAATGAATTGTGCTATTAAGATATAAGAGACTTAATTAAGTGTCTCCAATTTGACGTGGATCGTGTCTCCCCAAACAGTACAATTTCACAATTTTTACTTTATTTTTTGCAAATGAATAGATTTTTTTTAGTTAACCTTGTAATTACCTTTTTGAAGCAATTTTTCATTCCATTATGGACTTTTAATCTAATTACAAAATCCAACAACTTAACCCTTATCGGATGCTAGCTTTTTATGCGTGATTCTCACTAGATTGTAGCTGGTTTCAGTAAATATGCGAAAAATTTTCAGTATTATAAAAATAACATTTTTGTTAGAAATTATTTATTTTTTGAAGGAGTATTACAAATATATGAGTTTCAAATAATTATTTATAAGTTTTTAATGTATGATATTTTTTGAAACAATCTCCAACATGAAGGAATGGTTTTCTGTTGTACGTTTCACAGAAGTATACAGTTGTTTTTCTTCCTCCAGGCAACTTACGATTAGAACATATTAAACAGTCATTATGTTTTCCTTTAGCATCAAGTTGGAGGATATGTAGTTTTCCATCTAATCTCTTCTCATTATCTGTTGTTGATGGCGTTCCATATTGGAAATTTATAAAATTTTCTTTATTCATTTTTGGGCTCAATATATTAAAAAATTGAGTACAAAAGGCAGTGATATATCACTGGAGATGTCAATTGCTCCGTTGCTTATGCTTAACTGACAAGGCAATCGTACCCGCATTTGACAGAGAGCGAGTTTCGACAGGTCCCGACTTGTCACCTCTTACGTGACTGACGTACGACCGCAGCGACGAAGTATTGCTGTCACATGAGAGGTGACTTACGACCGATAAGGGTTAAAGAACAATCGAATATTTGTGGGAAAAAATCAGGCACAAAAAGTAAAACACATCCTGACTCTATTGTTATCGGCGCTAAACTACCAAAATGACGAATTTAGCATTTCCTAGTTAAGAATGAACACTGCTGCTAACATGAACAAAAAATTAAATCTTTCTTTTGTTGAAATAATGGCTCGGGATCTCAAGTCTCCCAAGGGATTAAATATCCCCACAGGTTCCCTTTCATACGATTCTTCTGATTTCGCACGAGCTCGTGATTTGGCGGATCTCGTGATACATGATTGCAATTAAATGAGAGAAAAAAAACGAACAAACCTCGCGACGTTCCTTCCCAAGTCGTCTTACGATCGACTGCTACTTTGCATGGCGAGTCAATTAATTTAAATTCATTTTTGATTATTGGTATAATCTATATCAAAATGACGACATTGCTTTCCTGAGACGCAAGATTTTATTTGATTGATTGATATGTTACTTTGAGATTTATTTGTTTCCTCTCTTTTTTTTTTCCATGTTCCTGATCACACAGATATGGGTAACAGCGTACAGTGATCGTGAGCATAATGCCAAACCCCTTCACTTTTACAGAAAACGAATGCAAGAGCGCTTTCATCGACGAAAACAAAAGAATTCCAGCGGCTTTTATGTATAATGGATATGCATAAATGTTATAATTACTAAGATAAGGGCAATAGTACTAAACCGCAAGGAGAGCACCGCCAGTTCTTTTAATTAATACCGTAATATTTTTTTCCTCTTTTTTTTTCTTTCTTTGGATCAAGCATGTGCTTAGGTATACATTCGTACGAGATAAGTGCATTAAATTATATGCATACATATATATACATATATACATATATATATATATATATATATATATATATATATATATATATATGCGTGTATATATATATATATATATATATGCGCACATATATATATATATATATATATATGTGTGTGTGTATTGTGTGTATATACATACACACCAGCGCTGCATGTCCCGTCGATTTGTAAATAGTTAATTTTTATAAATTATTTAATTTATACACAATGTCATGCATGTGGGATGATTCGATAATAAAGTGAATGTCTAATCGAATGCGACCGACCACTTACGGGGAAGGAGCCTCTCGTCACTCGGAAAATATTTATATACATACTTCGCGCGTTAGTGTGTCTGTCCCTTAATTTAAATCATGCTCGTGTCTCATGCTTGACGTTCACGACGTTAACGGCGACGGTGAGGGAGGTTAACTTGCGTGCCGTTGCAAAAGTCGAAGTGGATCGAATTCGGTTTACGCGAGGAATCCAATCGCCGGTCGCCGAGGTGAGCGAGGACGGAAAAAGAGGCGAGAAATACTTAATATGTGGAAGAGAAAAAACATGCTCAGAGCGGGATTCGCACAGCACACATAATTTACAGAAAAGAACACGATCGGACATGCGGCTTCGTGCGAATTTAAGAATGATTGTGGCTTATATAAGTATTCGTAATCGTAAGAGATCTCCTCTTATCCTCCCCCCCCCCCCTTCGNCGATAAGAGTTTCGCGACGCACGGCGTTCTTTCGGTGTATCTTGTAGCTTTGCTGGAGGGCACGCTTGATTGGGATCAAGCGTAGAATTGCCTCTCTATAGCGCCTCGCGGGTCCCACGTGTCGCCGTGCGTCCAGGAAGAGAGAAATTTCTGCGAGGATACTTTAGGTCTGTCCCTCTCTTGGCTGAGCTGGGTTGCATCCGGGTTGCCGTTGGAGAGGAACAAATATATAAATCTAGCGAAAAGGAACGACCCAGACCGCACAGTGACCAAAATCGAGGCATGAGACGTCTTCAAGATGTATTTAAGACGTCTTTAAAGGGCTATATATATCCGAGCCGCTTGGAGAAACGCCCGATCTTTGCATTTTTCCGCTGATCATATTATTGACCTCATGAAGATGTCCTTCTGAGGGATGATTCTTCGTACATTTGCTTACATATTACATGAAGTCCATTGCAAAAAGTTACGACATGTAACGTCGTTATCATTGCTTCGGTGGTAGTTCGTCGTCGCTAATTGCTATTCAAAATATCTCTGAAATTATTGGGCCGATTTAGCTCTGTTGTTTTGCACAATATATAGCTCTGTATAATTCTTGCATAGATATTCTTAGTAAGATCGTTTCGCAAAGATGTCTAAAGACATCTTATATCCCGATTTTGGACATCGTGTTTGTGCTGTCTGCGGAAGTTGCGGGGTGCAGCACATTGATTCAGCCAAGAAGAACAGGCCCATTGTGTAATCCCCGACGGGAGGCGCGCTAATTTATGTAACGATCGTCCCTTAACCCTGAACTCTCACATTTTAACTCTTAGCCCTCTTAACTGTAATTCGCGCTATTCTGTAGCGTCTTAACTTAATTTATTCGCGTGTGTCAGAGGCTTACTTTCTCTCGCGTAAGGTTCGCGAAGCGCACAGAACGACGTGAAGCTTCGGTTCTTTGGTGCATTTATTCTCCTTCTCTTCTTTCTCTCTAGGAGTTTCTTTCTTTTCTCGCCTCTCGAGTGTGAATGTGATGAATGGATAACTGAATTAGAGTGCAATGTATGATCAATTGTGTGTGCGTGCGTGAGTAAGTGAATGCGTGTGTGTACGTGTGCGTGCGCACGCGCGCGTGTGCCGAGCTGCTGCCGCTCGGAAGTTACCTGCATGTCTGGTTGTGAACAGCCGATGATGCACGGGCTCGCTTATATTATGTTCCTAAGAGAAAAGAAAAAAAAGATAAGAGAAAAGAAAAGAAAGCCCCCGCGTGAGCTGTCGAAATTTCGCTTACACGTCTTTCACACGTGCGGCGTCGTCGTTAACCCTTTCGTTTTTTTTTTTAGATCTTCTCTCTTGCGGAGTCTGCCTTCTCTTTTTCTCTCTCTTTCGGATTCACTCGCGTATGCATATATATATATATATATATATATATGTGTGTGTGTGTGTGTGTGTGTGTGTGTGTGGACGTTGCGTTTACTCTCTATCTCTTTTCTCCTCCGGCACTTTTTCGAATCGTTTACACATAAAGATATGAAGATATATAAATGTCATTTGTACATTTAATTTGTAAGGCTTTTTCTAGGATACGACAGCTCGGTAGTCTTATTGTTTGTTTAATCGAGATAAGATAAATTGTCCGATTTGCCGGACAAGGGTTAATGATGGCCTTCACATTCGTGCATTTTAGTGTAACACTGTAACACACGGCATTCTGCGTTCCCAGTAGTCTCTCGCGTTTATCGTCATTATAAACCCGCGATCGTTTCTGACGTCTCTTCGCCGGAGACGCTTGCTCGCGCTGGAATCATCGTATATACTCGACGCGATCCTCCCTTGGGAACAACTGTCTCTTTTTTTTTCTTCGTATATAAATTCATACGTTGACTCGACAGGGGTGGGAATTCTCGCGGCTTAAGGAAAAGCAAACAAAAAAAAGAACATCGATGTGTGTCCAACACTACGATAGGTTTAGTTGCACCCAGTATCTCTCTCGCAAGTGCGAACGCGGTCGGGAAAAATTGCACACACGCGTTGAGGAGAGACCGATCGTGAGGAGATATCCGAAGTGTACTACTCTTGTAAACTCTGTTACGACCGCTGCGTTTTCGCTACCGTTTCCGTTTCCCCTCTCTTGATTCTCCCCCCCCCCCTCCTTCCCTCTCTCTCTTTTGTGATATATATAATGTAAACATATGTAACGAGGGTATGCGCGCGAAGAAAGGGAGAAGTTGCGTTTTTGCTCTCATACGTAAAGAGGCAGAGACGAAGTGTGCGGGTGAGAGTGTGTGGTGCATTAACGAGTGCAATTGTCGTTAAACTATTTTTGTCTCGGGTGTATGTAAATATATATATGTACGCGTAAAAATACATTGTACTATCTACCATAAATGCGTAATTGCAGTCGCGTTAGTTTCGCGGTGAACGTTTGATCCGTCGTAAAGAAAGTTCCCCCTCCCCACACACACCGCACCACCGCGAAAGGGCTACTTTACCGTCGTGCGTTGCGCCGTTGTAACGCGAACTTGTATTCTCATATCGCACACAGATTTAACACGCGCATTTAATACGATGTTGTACGATGTGTTCTCTCTCTCTCTCTCTCTGTCCTTTCGGCGATGACGCACGACGAACGAACCCGTGTTCGCCCCCACCCCTCCTCGCCCTTAAAATGCTGAATGTATTTTCGAATCGTGTTGCGCTAAAAAAATAACGCTCTAACGACGTAATATTGTACTATTATAATTCATGCTATGTTTCTTCTCGTCATGGCTCTCGAGCGCTTTTCCTCCCAGTAATTAAAAGATAGGAAGAGAGAGAGAGAGAGAGAGAGAGAGAGAGACGTAAAATCGAGTCGAGTAAGGAAACGACGATTGCCGCCGGACAATTAATTCCGATTCTTGAGTACTCTATCTCTCTCTTTCTTTTTTTTCTCCTTCACGCTTCTGTACGCCTTCTTTTCTCGCGACGCATCGCACGAAATTCGCCATTCAGGAGGCCGTCGCCGATCTGTCGCGTCATAGGGAGTAGATCGGCGACCGGACTCTTGCACGACGATACGTTTCATATTGTATTGTGTACGCGCTCTACATGATGTATGGTATCGAGCGCTGGTTGGCCGACGGATTTGACGAAAGATGGGACGAGGAAAGGCAGAGCTGTTAGTTAATATTATTTTTGTAACGTCTTCGACGTGTCTGAAATTTTGCATTATTATTATTATATCATCCAGTCAACGTAGGCGTGTTATAACGAATCTATCTGCGCACCAGCCAGTCACTGTTGAGGAGGAGGTTGATCTACAACTGCTGTGTAGCCTTTCTCGCGTCAACCGTGAGAGCGAAACGGACGAATTGTTTCCTTACTTTCGCGACTCTTCGAGACACGAAGTCAGAGAGACGAGAGCAAAATTATGTATAACGAGGGACGAGCCCGTTTCAGCAATTCGCGGAACAATTCGGAAAAATCTCGGCGGATTCATGATGTGCGCAACCGGCGGTTGCTGCTTTTCGCGTGCGGTCGTTTCGCGCGCGTGAGAAAAAAGAAATCCATTCAAGACATATACCGCAGGTTTCCCGTTTTATGATGTTAATCGAGTTCAGATCTACCTCATCTGAAACAGCAAAAGTAGTACGAGATAAAAAGAAAAGAACAGTTATAACAAACCGTATAGCGATTCTAAACATTTTTCCTAGAGTTTAGGCGGTAGATTTGTATGCAGGGTGTAGAGAGGCTGTAGCTGACAAGGTACTATAAATTGTAATACAATATTCTCCCCTCGAATTAAAAACTGTAATTTTAAGATTAATTATCCGTTAATTATATATATTATATGCGATTGTCGCGAGAAGACGACGATGCTTATACAATTAAAGGACGATGAGAAAACCCACGAAAAAAGAAAAATATGAGAACACACATTAAACGACTGTATTCACCTATTTATTTATTGTCGCACCGCATAGTCCCGGCAAAGAGGAAAAAAGAAAGGAGGTAATCCGAAAGAAATATATTTATAAGGTAATATACAATAAAAATATATTATACATATACACCGACGTGTATGTGTGTGTGCGTGCATGTGTGTGTGTGTGTACTGTGTGTACGGATCCACGTGGTAATCCCGAGTTAATTACCCCCATCCGCGACGAACGTTAATTAATTAGTAACTTGAGTTGAGCAATTCGCAGCTTTCTCTTTCTTTCGGGGATATCCTCTCGAGTTTTCCACGCAGCTCGAAACAATTGGGAAATTATTTCGACGCGAATACACGCGTATTATCTAATAAATATTTAAAATATCAACTATACTTGTCTCTTCCTGGCATATCTAATCTTATTTTCCAGTAGATATATTTATATCTGGCCATTGTTACGCAAGAAGGATCCAACCTGCAAGATTATAATTCTTGAGATTTTGTTATTAATAGATAGTCTGTACATATTCCTACATAAAACAAAAAGGATTTAATTGGATCTTTATAATTTTAATTTGTAACTTTATTTCTTATTTTTAATTTTAATTTCGATTCTTTCGAATTTTAAGACATCATAATGTCGTGCGGGAAGCCTTACGGGCGTGTGAAATTAAATTTTTCCGAGTTAAATTTGTTAATGAATATCCTTGAAGAGGAGAAAATAGACCACGTCTGACTTCTTAACACATTGCATGCGAGTATATTTCGCCGCGGACTTACGCGTGTAGCGGGCGTTTTTTCGTGAATTTCGCGGGAGTTTGGTATTCAGTAAAATATTCAATTAAACCAAGTAACTCGACAAACTAAACTTCTAAAAAGAAACAATGGAAATCGTTGCCTAGCAACACTAACACCGTACACACTTACAATGCCCATCGTATTTATACGATACCCGCTCTCCAGCACAAATCTACTAAATACGTACTTTTACGTGACTCTAGTGACAGACTGCAAAAAACGTAAAAGTACATTTCCCGCATGTAATATGTTAAAAGATTGTGAGACATCTCAGTGATATTTATACTTTTTAAATCATGTATCAAATTTCCATTTTCATTTTTTTCGAGACGTACAATATGTAAATTGCAAAATCTTGCAAAACTATGGCCGTTTTCATTATTTCGACAAGCGACGCAGAACCGTTGGACAGTTCTCTCGGTCACTTTGAACGGTGTAAACGCAACTTTCGAAAATCAGTCTGCAAGCAATATTGCAAAAGGTTTCTCATTTTCTCGATCTTTCTTTATTTCTCATCGTAATGTAATTGTACAATATCGCAGATATCAAAAAATGCACGGTAATATCGAAATACGATAAGTAACATGATCATTATGAGTTTCCTCTCGAACACAACATGTGTGTGTGTGTGTGTGTCTAAAAGACGTGTCCTCAAGAACGCCCTTTAAACGTCTTATTGTCTAAAAGACGTCTTTACGACGGCTCAGGACGTCTTAATGTTACCTAGGAGGAGCGCACAAGTTGAGAAGAGGCGTGCGAAAATTCGTCGCACGGAACAGAGTTAGAGCGTTTTCTTTACAAAAATTCTCGCACACTCGGTTTCGATACAATCTGGACGGCTCTTCTCTCGACGAAAGAACTCAAGTTCTGTGAAAGCCGATCAAAAACAAGTTCTTCCGCCGATTGTATCCCCAAGCCGTACCAAAGTCCGAGCGCGCAGATCGCGATCGACGTCGATAATACATCATCACGGAAAACAACGGGAACTTTCAACGATTAATTGAACGATTATTCTCACTCTTACGCCTAAAATCGTATTGTATGCACTCGTATTTCTCGCTGAGGAACACACGCCGGGGATCGTCTCTCTCTCTTTCTCGCGCGCGAATTCGTATACAATACAGACGTGTAAACATCCGGCAAATCGAGCAATCCCCCTCCTCCCCCCCGTTACTGCAATTTACGTTAGTAAAATGTAAATCTTCGAGAGCGTGTAAAAGTATCCGTGTACATCTACAAAACCCCGAGTCTCTAAAGTGAACACTGGCGGATATGTCTGGCGAAAAAGTATATCGGTGTACTGGCAGTGTAACGTTACGTCTACTGTAAACGCGCGCGGTAAATCGGAAGATTGTGGTCGCCGCAATTGGCAGTGCAATAATTGTCCCCTCCCCCCCTCCTCCTTTCGATCTCTCCTCTCCTCGAGTACTCGCGTGGCAGAGACACGGATCGGCTGCGTCACGTTCGCCTCTTCTTTTCGCCGGAGAGCCGAATATTAAATCCTGAAGCGCGGTTGAGGGACTTAACATCTCGGTCTGTCCCCGGGAATTCTATATACATACACCACTCGTTGAGGGGGATTCTCGATATCCTCAATTCTCAAGATTAAAATCTCAAAGAGTTAACAATGGAAGATCGTGTCGCGAAGCGTTTCCCTTGCTCTTCTTTCTCGTGGTAAAAAAAAAAGGGGAGCGGGGAGGAACAAGAAGGAAAAAACAACGCGAAGAAGGTCTGCGACGCGAGTACTCGAGTGCTTGTGACGAGTTCTCTCCCTCTCTCTCTCTCACTTTCACGGAGGACAACGCGATAAACGTGTTAACAAAATGACAAGACCGCGGGCCTGGTCGCCGATTGGTTAACGCAGCAGCATAGCGCACAGCACTATCATATTCAGCACGAGCGAACCGCAAAATAACGCGAACAGCAGGCCGGGGCTCGTAATGACCGTGGAGTGGCTCGGGCAGACCGGCACCGACTCGTTCCGGACAGCGTTGGCGGCCGTCACCTGCTCCTGCTGCGCTGGGCTCTCCGCAACGATCGCGCCGCCGCACACCCGGATCGCCGGCGAGCAATTCCTCGTCGGCGCGTCGTACATGGAGCAACGGGAGTGCGCTCGAGGAGCCGACGAGCTGGCGAAGGACTTGGCAGGGCTCGTGATGTTGGCCCGGGACGTGTAGCAGAACTGTGTGACGTCCGAGACGACGGAGCAGCGGTCGAACTCGTGCACGGACGGCTCTCTGGACGGCGCGAAGTTGGACGAGCCGGCCGAGCCGAAGCCCGAGCTCTGGCTGGAGGAGCGCGAGAGCGTCGGTGCGCCGCCGCTCATCACACCTTCCTGCCAATAGCCGCCGGCCACCCACGACGTCTGCGTGACTGAGCGCAGCTTCGGCGGCGAGAGGATGCACCGAGGCCTGCCCGAGGCAGCGACCGCCGATCGCCTGAACAGATCGCAGGTAGACGCACCGTATATCCTCCTCTCGAAGATCGGCGGCGTCCTCAGGCTGTACCGAGACGAGTCCTCGCTCAACGAGAGCGCGCTCAGTACGCTCACGTTGCTGTCCAGGTAGTGGGAGTACGGCGAGTCGTTCTTGCACGAACTGCTCGGGCTCAGGTAGCTCGGGTCGCTGACGCCTGCGGCGGTCGTGGATAATTTCTGCTTCTGCGGCCTGAAAGAAGTGTAAGGTGGAAGCGGCTCGTCGATGTCTCAAAATGAAAGATGCACGTTTTGGCAACAAGAGATGTATAGGATGGCCTATGTAAATCGGGAAGGGGTTTGAACTTTCGATAATGTTTCTACTTGCTAATTATTCTTATGGTTTCCTTGACGTAACGGAGTGCAAAGTTTGGAAATAAAAAGAGAAAAGCAAGACAAAATCAATAAAAATGAATAGATAAAAGTTATTGAAAGTTCGAACTCCCTCGTGATTTATGGGCCAGCTTGTAGAACGAAATAGAAACAATACAAACACTGCTAAGTGTGACTTAATCTCGGCGGTGGATAATTCGCCTATACTACTCGATGACTCGACACTGCTGTTTGTCTCGTTGAAGACGCCGTTGTTTTGACTTCGACCGTCGCACGGAAACTGCGGCGATGCAACGGCGTCCCGTGTGTGCAACTTGAGCTTCTTGAACGATACCGATGTGGCCGACGTGTTTTTGCGCGAGCCGGGTGCCACATTCAGGAAGCTTATGAGTAATGCACACGCTGCTATCTGGAAAGAGGAAACGTATATCCAACGCTGAAGTGTTTATGCACCTTATTACACCGTCTCACCATGTAATATTGCGTGACGTGTTCCGCTGTGAGCCAGACGTTTTGCAGCGTCGTTAAATTCACGACCGATACGAAAGCGGTCATGCAACACCATAAAATTATCGACAACACGTCGGCAATCTTCTTCCTCATCGAGCTTGCCCAACAAGCGCACAAGTGAAAGAACAATCCGCCAAATGGCAGCCATATAACGTCGTGATTGTACGTGATAACTGAGCCGAAGACTATCGAGATCAGTCGGAAAATCGTGTCGAACTTCCTTGCGTTCTGCGAAAGAATTGTCGAGTCGTTATTCATTGCTATGATCGAATATCGTTACAGTATCAACGGGAACATCAAGAGCTACTACGTACCTCGATAGCGATAACTCTTAATTTTCATAAAATTCTTTCTTATTTATAACACACATCTTGTCCTTGCGAATGTACTCACACTGATAACAGTTTTAACTGGCTTCTGTCTGAAGAAGAGCATTTTGTAACGGGTGAGCCACAGCGTCTGCTTGTTCAGCACATTCCACACTGTGGACTTGCAAGTGTCACACAGCGGATACTTCTTCTCCAGGTACTCCTTGAACACTTTCACCTCCACACTGTAGAGAACTTCGTTTCTGGGCTCGAAGTTTGACAGTTCCGATAACTTCAAGCTTTCCCGCTTGTTGCAGTCCATGCAGAGATTGCCCTTCGGAACGTTGAGAACATCGCTCTGTTTCGGCAAACTGCAATATCTCGTGCACTTGTTGACTGTTGCGTACTGCTCCGGGATGTCGTACGCATAATCGCCATTCTGCGAAAAGTTATTCGTACACTCAATCGTAGTCCAAAGAATAATCTTTCTATAACATACATGGTGAAACACAGTGTGTAATAATTATGTCTAACTCTAGTATGATGCATCTGTAAGATAGACATGAGACGGGATTTCGGCGAATTACTTTGGAGAAACCGTTGAATTGCTGGCATGATGGACACAACCACCAATTCAGATCTTGTCTCCAGACTTTTGTACTTCCATTGCAGAACCAGCAGTAGACTTTCACAGGCCATCTTATTCTATTGATTATGAAACAAAAGACACGTCAATACGTGGAATCAAAGTATATATCTTACATCATTGTACTAATTTGTTCACACATACCCAAGAATAGAGAGGGAGCATAACTTACTTCAGCTTGCAGAATATTGTTAGACACGTAACGAGGATCAGTTGAACGGGAACCAACACGAATGCATAATCCAACACAGAATTCTGATCGAGTTCCATTGTTTTCGTCCGAATAAAAGCGCTTTAAAATGGCGGGAAACGCTTGACGAGGACGCGCGACGAGAGAAGCGTTTCTCTAAAATATATGCATAAAAACGTCTCCAACATCAACTGTGCGCTACATCTTCGGTCAAGCGATCGAGTGCAGATACGCTATAACCTAAAAAAAAGACAATCCGCGCTTAAGGATAACCACGGAACTGCATGTTGAAACAAGCCTCACCGGCGACGTCAGGTCATGTGTGCTGTTGATCGAGGCTGTCTCGAATCTCACCGATGACCAAGTTGATTTTCTTATTGTCGAATAATTCAGGATTCCGTGCCACACTAAGCGCGGCACGTGTTGACCAACACCGGCACTACATCGGCCGCCGTACCTGCGCACACATCGACCGCCAAATACGCCTTTTTGATTCTCAGGTAGGAGGAACGTCACAGGCGAAAAGCGCCTGTGCGAAGTCCTCTACTTCGGAATCGGAAAGGCATACCTGGCGACCGCCATGTTTCCGAAGCTGCGTTCCAAAGATCCTACTCGATACATAGAGTGCGTTCGAGGAGATTTAGCGCTATCGCGTCATTCTATCCTTATTGTACATGTAAAGAGTAATAAAGATAGAGTTACGCGGTAGTGCTAAATAGCGTCTGCTCGAACGTGCTCGTAGAATGGCATTTAAGCTGCGTTCGAAAATATCACACTGGATGCGTTCAGAAATCCTACTCGACGGGTAGAGCAACTATTAAATGGCCAATCAAGATAAAAAGGCAAATATTTTTTTATTATTGGTCAGTAAACCTACTTTGAGGGTAGAGTGACATTTAATTTACTAATCCAGGACAAAAGGAACTAAAGCTTGTATCAGCCGCTCAGCATGTAATTTTTTTCTTAGGACGGAAACGTGAAATGTTTACAAATTAGAAAATTTACACTTTTCACTAGCCTCTGGAGGAGACTCTCTGGGGGTTGATCACTTTTCTCTTTTTCTAATATAAATTCGTGAAAAAAATAAATTTTCTAATTTGAAAACATTTCATTTCCGCCGTAAAGGAAAAGTTGTGTGATCGAAAGATTATGGATTAGGATTGAGTTGAACTCAAAACTTAACCAATCAAAACAAAGCTCGCTAAACTTGAGTTTAGTGAATTTTGTTCTGATTGGTCAAGTCACAAAACTAATATCAATCCTAACTTGAATTTAATGAACTTTGCACTAATTGATCAAATTTCAATCTAATCTCGATCCTAATCTGTTGTCTGATACGGGCTTTATCATGATTGGTTAATTAAATGTTTGTTAGCAGTAGGTTTGTTCCTCCTTGTTGAATTTTCTATCCTGCAGCTCAAGGGTGCAGATTTCAGTGGGCATTCACAACGTATGATCGATACTTCACGTGCGCGGCGCCATCTGCAGGCATTTGCATCGATTATGCCACGCTTCGCCGCATTTCGTACACAAAATCTTTGATAAAATAAAAAGGAATAAAAAGAAAGAAGGAGACAGACGGAAAAAAAGAAAGAATGTCTCATTCTGTTCTCAAGAATGTATTTGTCTCCATATTACTTCTCTTTGCTCCTATTCATTCGTTATACAAATTATCGGGTCATCGAGGTGTCACCTCGCGGCCTCGGTACGCAACATCGGACAATTAAAACGACAAAGAGGAATGATGAATGGCGTCGTTGCGCGGCTATGCACATCCATCCGGATGAATCTTCGAAAGTCGCATACAAACAATGTGTAGATCATTAAAAAAGGGAAAGGAGAGAGAGAGAAAAACGTACAAACGCGCAAAATATAGAAAATATCGCGTAGCCATGGAGTTTCCGGTCGAAACGCGAGCGCGCAGAACCGGCGGCTCTCTCTTTCTCTCTCTTTCTCTCTCTCTCCCTCTCGCATAATCCCTCGTTGCATAATTTCCGCCTACCACGCCGTAGCGCTGTGCGCGCGCGTCGCGTCCCGCGGCGCAAAATGGCGGCGGTCGCCTAACATCTCGTTAGTGTCGCGGTACGTGTGACGACGACGACGGAACATCGTATCGGCGCGCGCTCTTACATGAGAGCGATTCCAAGCCCTTGTCACTCCTCGACGCCGCGCGACCACCTTGGTGATATCAGGTAAACGCACACGTCATGCGCGCGCGCGCGGCAGGCGGAATTGGCGAAAGTCGGCGCGGAAAGGGAACGTGCCGGACGGCGCCGAGGCGACCGGCGGGGTGTGCTTTGTTTGTCCGTCCGCTCGTTCTCTTTTTCGCGCGCGTACACGAAGATCCGGAGATTCCGGGATCCTCGGGTCGGGGCGGGACGCCACGTGCGCCGGCGGTCGTGCTTCCTCGTGCACTCGTCGCCGCCGAATTTCGCCGCTTCCCGCCGTAACCTTTTTTGTCGCCATTGTAAACACCGTAGTACGTCCACACGCGCCCGTCCCTGCCGATCCCCGTTGCTCGGGAACTCGTCAAGTGCGCGCAAGACGCAGCGCGTCGATCCCGCGCTATTTACGCCGGGATGTCAGGGACGTACGCGCGCGCGATAATGATAACGAGTACGCGTCGGCATTCACGATTGGATTCTGTGAATGAAGGAAAAAAATCCCGCCGGAGGATTCACGGCTCGACCTAAGCAATAAGTGGCCTTGTGTCGGGAACTACAACGTTCGTGACTCGTAATGAGAATTTACGAATTTCTTCATTTCGAAAGTTGGGTTTTTTTTTAATGGAGTTAAAAGTTTGACCACCCACGGACCGTGTGGTCGAACAATGACTTAGCCGTATGAGTCACGTGTATGATGATATTAGAGATTATGAAAAGCACGTCGGCGTCTTGCAACGGTAAAAAATTATCATACATGCGATTCACGGATGGATAATTGTTCACGATCACGCTTGATGCTTCGCTAAACTCGAAGGATCCATTTTCAAAAAATTACTGGAACTGAAGAATTTTTGTTATTTTGATCCCTAGATTTTTCCACCGTGTCGATCCTCTAGCGGCGAGGTGGACTTTCAAAAAGCGTTTGTTTCTGCAATTATTTAACGTCAGTAAACTTTATCGTATCTTCTCATTTGTAAACAAAGTAGATTCATGTTCTTATTTACCTCTTTTATTTTGTACATTAATTAGATGAGAAGTAGAACATGGGGTCGGATCCGACCCAACCTTGCTGTTAGAGAGTTAACTTCAGAAGCAAATTTTAGAGTACTTTATATTAGATTTTTCTTACTGGATCGCTGTATTAATTTTCTAATTGTTAGTTTCGCTATTGTTGTTAAGCACTATTGCTTTTGATTGTTTATCCCTTGTGACACGTTATTCCTATTTTTAGATTGTTTTCCACGGGCCATCGAACATGTCGAACCCAGAAAAAGCGGATATCTGTGTACCAGATACACAGGAAACGTACTACGAAGAGTCCGACAAGATCGAGGCTGAGAAGACCTGCGGCGAGACGCAGAACTTGAGCGCGGACGAGAGCCAAGACTTCCGTCTCGTTGTCTTCGACGAGGACAACAGTATAAAGGAGAAGACGCAGTCTGCCGCGGAAGACAACTGTACGCAAAAGCCTGCCAAGGAGCCGGACTTACAGCCGACCACCGACACGCACCCGGAATCCAAGACGTCGGACGACAAAAAGACGTCGGACGACAAAAAGACGTCGATAACCGCGAACGACAATAAGATTGAAAGCGAGAGTGAGATCGTCAAAGAGGAGACGACAACGGAGGACAAGCTCGTGAAGAAGAGCGAAGAACTCAACGACGAGCTTACCGACAATGACGAGGACGAGATCGTTCAAGGTACGCCCCCTCACAGTTACACACCGCCGAAGAAAGCGGACGGGGACATCGAAGGCGCGAGTCTCAAACGCAAGGCGGGCTCCTTCGAGGAGCCGCCGACGAAGGTGCTCAGGACGACGTCCATGGAAGACGCGGTGAGCGTCAAAGAGCCCATCAAGGAACAGTTCGCGGAGGAGGAGAGTCGTCAGTCCATCAAGTCCGACGACTCGTACGACATGTTCCAAAGCTCGCAGCGCAACGTCATAATCGAAGAGACTCAAGACCCGACGGGCGAGCTGACTCAGAACTCGCTGAAGAGTCCCGGTGCGCCGACGGAGACGATAGACACGAACAAGGAGCAGCCGGAGGAGGCCTTCTCCGAGAAATGCGACGTGGAGAAGGACGAGAACCTGAACGTCTCTGCGAAAGTCGCCGACTCCAGCGCCAACGACAGCACTGTCGTCAACGCGAATTCTCTGCACGAGAGCGACATGCAGGTGGACGAGCCCGGGGAGAGGGAGGAGACCGTCACGTCAACCGCCGCTGCGACAGAAAGCATCGCCGAGAAGTCTCAGACCGACACGTCGGACGAGAAAGAGGCGGACGAGTCGCCGGAGGTAAAAGAATCGGCCACAGACGCAATCACGGACATAGAAGTAGTGGCCGGCGAAGACGGCCACACGACGGATTCGACGAACTGCGTCGAGGAGATCGCCGAGACCGAGTCTGAGAAGCCCACCGACGAGGAGGAGATCCCGCCGTCCCAGCCGAACGCCTCCGCCGAGCCTCTGTCGTGCTTGAAAGCCGTGAGCGCCTACAAGTCACGGACGAGCGTGGAGCTGGTGTACGATGGTGTGAGCAAAACAGTCACCGACAGCGAGTCGAAGCTGCCAGAGATCGTGGAGATCTCCGACGATATGGAGAAGAGCATCCTCGACTCCTCGGCGGAGGTGATATACGAGCCAACGAACAACAGGGAGAGCAAGTCGAAACCGGAGGTCGTGGAAATCGACGACTCACACGAGGACGGCGAGAGGATCGTCGTGGACTGCCTCGATGCCAACTCGGAGGTGACTGCCATGGTCAAAGGCGCTTCCGAGGACGTGAACGAGACGATGTACAAGAGCTGCTACGACAGCAAGAGCGAGCTCAGCTACAAGAGCGTGCCGGAAAGCGCCAAGGAGTCGTTGAACGCGAGACCGGACAGCAACAGGCTGATGAACGGCAGCGACGAGTCCAAGAAAAGCGACAAGACCATCAGCATCGGGTCCGACACGCTGTCCGGCTACGAGACACCGCCGGTCATTCTCAGCAGAGGTGACCACGGCAACGCGGCCACGCTCAGCTCAGCGAGGAAGCTGGTCTCCACGAAGAGTCAGCTGGGCGCCAAGGACTTGGACAACATCGAGCTGATCAGCATTAGCGACCACGAGGACCTGTCCAACGCGGATGACGGCGCGAGGAAGTCCGACCTGATCCACAACAGCGCGCTGGCCAAGTCCGTACAGGTGGAGAAGGAGATCGGCATGTACGTGAAGCTCAGGTGCCTCCTGCAGATCGACGAGAACACGAAGGAGTTCCTGGGCAAGGAGCTGACCGCCGTGCACTGCGAGCCGATCATGGAGTCGGCGTCGATAAGGCAGAAGAACGACGATACGGCGTCCTCCTCGCTGGCCGACATATCCGACAACAAGGAGGCATCACCGGGCTCGGTGAACAGCAACGTCCAGGTGTTCCAGCTGAACCCGTCCAGGCTGTCCGTTATGTCGTCCGTGAGCTCGTCCAGCTCGGCCTCGAGCGCCGCGTCGCTCGCGGCGAAGCTCGCTCTCAAGGAGAACGTGCTGTTCTCGTTGCCGCGGGGCCCGGCGAAGCACGCGAAGAAGATGTCGCAGGACGTGCCATCGTCGATGAGCGAGAAGCAGACGTTGGACGAGACGTACGAGCGGGTGACGCGCGAATGGGCGAACAACCGGCTGCTGACCGCGACCGTGTTGAACTGCGCGAACGCCGAGCTCGGCGCCTTGGACACCCACAACATCAGCAACGAGCGGCTGGACGACCACCACCTACGGAAGATGCACTCGTCGACGCCTGAGGTTCCGCCGCCGGCGGAGAACATCGAACTCACAGTTACGCCGAAGAGTACGAAGAAGAGCAAGTCCTTGAAGAGACCGAGGAGCAAGATAGCGAGGTCGCGGTTGGCCCAGACGAACGGCGAGAGCAAAAGCAGCGCGAATACGCCCATCACCATCGCGCTCGACTCCATCACGGAGAACGACAATACGCCGCGGAAGAAGAGCAAACTGGAGACGGTTGGCAACATGTCCGAGAACACGGAGGAAGCCAAGCTGCTGATCAGCGGCGCGGACGTGCTGGCGAACTCGTCGCCGTTGCCGAGCGACAACCTCATCGGCAGGAAGGTCTTCGCCAAGTGGTCCGACAGGAATTACTACCCTGGCACGGTGACTGACCACGTGAAGGCCAAGTACAGGGTGGACTTCTACGACGGCAAAAACAAGGTGTTGATACCCGAGTTCGTCATACCGATACCAAAGACCCTGAAGAAAGGCCTGTCGTTGTACGCGACTTCGAAGACCAGCGACTACGGCTCTTGCGGCTTCATCGTGGACGTGAAGGACGGCGAGGAGGTGGACGACGTACGCTACACCGTGGAGACGGACGAGGGCGAGCGTCTGCATATTTATGTGAAGGACATCTTCTTGTCGGCCGATCAGGCCCAGCTGCTGAAAGAAGAGGTGGACTCCGAGAACAAGAGCGTGCCGAACACGCCGAAGCACCTGGGGCAGGTGTCGCTGGACAACATGGTGGATGGTAAGCGGCGCTCCAAACGGATCGGCACGCCGGTTTTCTCCACCCCCAAGTCCAGGATCTCTGCCAGTAATTCCTCCATCACCAAGACCAAGTCGGAGCCGTCGGTGTCGGGGATGGCCGGGAAGATGAAGAAAGAGCGGAGCGTCGTGTCCGAGAACGAGAGCACCGTGTCCAGCGATACGAACGCCGAGCCCGTCGACGAGTACGCGCTACTAGGCCTGCAGAGGGAGATCATCGGCACGCCGAACGAGCAGGTGGTAAAGGGCCCGAAGAGCCGGATCAAGAGCAAACGCAGCAAGAAGAAGGTGGACGACGAGCAGACGATCGCGACCTTGGGCCCGATCCCCACCGACAACACCATCTTCGAGGGCATGTCGTTCATCCTCACGTGCGCGTCCCTGGAGAGTCTAGACAGGTACCAGGACGGGAAGGCCTCCGTCGCGTCGGGCACCGAAGAGACCGAGACCGACAACGAGCTGGAGTGGACGGAACGGCCGTTCGTGCGCGACCGGCTGGAGACGCAGATCGTGGCGGGCGGCGGCAAGGTATACGAGGACTTCAACGACATCCCCAAGGAGGAGTACGCCAACACCAAGCTCATCACGAACGTGCCAAATACCACGGCCAAGAGCATACTGTGCCTCTCGGCCGGCATCCCCGCGTACAACCACAAGTGGATCATCAGATGCTGCTCGGAGGTAATTCCCCGTGCAGGCGTTGTTTTGTTTTCACGTTATTACGGTGAAAACGTGCCAGCTTGATAGCTTTATATCCACTATTTTCATGCCTAAGAGATTGCTTTTTGTCACTTATTCCGCTGAGAAGCGGTTACTTCACTTGTTTTTTGTCATCGGCGACTGGATGGCAGTTCTAGTAGCTATTACGATATTTTCTCAGCGTGTTCGACGATCGCCCTTTAAATATCGTATCGCGTTACGCACTTTCAGGGGAAACTCGTGAACTCGGCCGAGGAGGCGCTCCCGACCGGCTGGAGCTTACAGAGGCAAGCCTACGTGGAAACGTTCCAAATTAAGAACAAGCCACTGTCACAGATGGTCGTGATAATTCCCAGTCTATTGGCCGATCAGGAGTTCTCCACGTTTTGGACACAAGTGTGCGACAACGCGGGAGCTGTAGTCTTACTCGCGGAAAATGCAGGTATGGCTTGGCCTTCTCGCGAACAAGTTAACGTCTCAATTAACTTTTGAACTACGTGAAGAAAGAAAAAAATTACACATAAAGGTAGATTAATCTCACATACATACGTACCAGAATAGTCTCATGTGCACACTTGATTTTGTAATTGAGTGCGAGTGGATTGACCGAATTTCGCGGTTAATATTGCAGAGAACATCGAGGGAATGGAATTTGACAGTGCCGGTGTAATTGTGTCTAATCAGAGGTGTCCTACGTGGGCCATGGATAAGGCGCAACACTTACAAATTCCGATAATGTCTACCACGTGGATTGTACAGTGCTTAATCGAAGGCAAGATTTGTCCGCACGGCCAGCACGCCCGTTTTAAGTACAACTACAAAACAAATTAAAAGTTATTGTCAAAAAAATATTAAGACGTATTGTCGATGTCAGGGGGCCCCCCGCTACGTGTGTACACACACGCGAAAATTCAATGAGCAATATGAGCTCTAATGATCGCGTCAACTTTCTTCAGTACACTTATCCTTGTTGTCTTTTAGCTCTGTGTTTATTTTTACTTTTTGATGATTCTTTTACATCTGACTTTTCCCGTTTTTTTTTTTTTTTTTTTTTTTTTTTTTTTTTTTTTTTTTTTTTAAATAAAGAAAACGCGAGAAGGCGACTCTGTCGTGAACAGTTCGGTGTACGACGATTTCATTTTTTCCCCTGCATCGTGTTTGTTTAACTCAAGAACTGATGATGCTCACGAAAATTATGACTACATCTACTTGGATTATTAATAGTATCATGCAACATTGTTCTTTTTTTATCACACTCATCCAGAGAAGCCCCTGACAACAAAACGTTGTCTCTGTTATGTTTAAACAAGAGTTATTTTATCATTATCTTTGTCATACGTTTGATATATACATCCCCCCC